AATGGTTGACTACTGTGCATTACTGTTGCCTTTGGGAATTGAGGACCCAATCTCTTCCATGTTGTTACTCTCTTACACCACACTGGGTGTACCAAGTGGAGCCCTGAGACAGGGAAACCATGCAGGAGCCACACGTTGTTACACCAACCAGAACAGAATGGAATTGTTAGCCTAAAAACACTTGGAGACGTACGTAGGAGGAGATAGGAGCACTTACAGTCATGCCCGATGTGTGTTGATGATGATCTTACAACGAACAATACTCTTGTATCATTGTCCAAAATCCACGAGAACATTTTTGGTTTTTTAAACCATCCACTGCAGGGAACAAATGCAGGAACTGGAGGATCATGGAATTGTTAACTCCATTCTCTAACCTCTTAATTTATCAGATGATAAATACTTCAAGCAAAGAAGTCAATGATCACAAAAAACATAAACTGCATGTAAATTTATTTCGCACCAATTATTAAGTTACAAACATTTCAAGGATATCAAAATATTCATGAATTCTTCTTCACCTAATTCTTCAGCTTTAATTAATGTACCACAGTTTAATGCTACAACAACAACAAAAACAATGTGTTTTATGAGTACATATTTTAGACATTTATTAATAAAGATTGCACAGCATCCTCGTACACAAGGTCGACCATTACTGCTTAGTGCAGCTGCAGTACTGTAGTGGCTACACACTTATCTGTTAGCCCGAAGATTATGAGTTTAAATTCGGACGAATCAGAAATTTTTTCAAAACTGACTTTGGTTCCTAGGTCGACCCAGTCTAAAATGAACACCAGTAATGTTCCTGGAAGTAAAGCTGGCCAGCAGGAGGCTGATCACATAACCCACTGTGTGTCATCAAAACCTGAGCCTAGTGTCATGCTCCCAATGTGCCATGAGTGTAAAAAAGGTCCTTTACTTACTTTTTCAGTTACTGGTTATGTGACCACAGGCACAGTCAGAGAATACCATGGACAAAGAAGATATTTTAACAGACCTGAACATCAAGGAAGATTAGCTTATAAACAGCATCTTGTCTCAGAAGCTAAAATATTTTGTTCACATCAAGCGCCGTGGTGGAATAAAAAACTAATAGCAGAAGGCATGGTAGCAGGAAGGAGGGGCAGGGGCAAAGAAGATGGGCAAAGAAGGATATTAGTGAGACTTTGAATATGAAAATACACTAGGCCGGAGAGCTGACGAGAGACTGAGTTTGTTTCAGGTAGACTGTGATGAGAGCGATGTTCTGCAAAGAAACTGCCACAAGACGATGATGACAGGAATTCGGTGGAAAACAAAACAATTGAGTTGTTTCTAAACACTAACTAACTAGAACTGAGTTCAACAGTCTGACACAGGCTGTCTATGACAGGTGGCCTCAACACAATCATCATCATTATAGTCACATAACACAGCGTGTCGTTGGGTCACTAGGTGCAGTCGACTGTCTGATCAGATTTCCTAATCTCTATCAGATGCAGTATACGATATTTGCATGTTTGAGGCCCATCCATTTACAGATTTCAGTATACAGGTCTTTCCTAGTCTGCCTTTTCTCGTATACATAGTATGTTTCTGGTGGTGACTGTTGGCTTTGGTGCCTCTAGCAACTGCCATATGCATTTACTGTGTGTGCTTATTTCTGGATTGTTCCAAGACTAATTGTTTGCTCACCAGATTTTCAAATGGGACAGTGAAGAACATTTCATTTGATTTGCACTGGCACAGGAGCAGAGCAAGTATGGAAACACCCGACTGCAGTTAAGCTGAAACCTCGACTAAGACTAGTATGTTTTAGAGAGGTCATGTCAATGCATGTTCCATCTTTTTAGTGTTGTCAAGAGGTTCATAGTTGTCAATGTGTTAAGTGATGATGCCACAGATGTTGTCATTTGTGATGTACCAACACAAATGTGCTGCATGAACGAAACTAGAATTTCTACACTTAAGGCATTCCCACACATGCTCAGCATCCTTCCTCAGTAGACAACAAAGTTTCCAAATTGACAGAGCCAGTCGTAGCCTGATTAACAGTTCATTCCCCGCTGAATCAATCTCTCCAGGTACGGATGCTCCCTGTTTTGTTGCACTGTTCACTTGACCCCAGAGAGCCTTCACCTTCTTTATCACAATGTAGCTCACCACCCTGAGGAACAGCAGCAGCCAATCTATCAGCCTGCTCATTACCATGCACCTCAGAAACAAGCTTGCAAAGAATCATCAGCATCTTGTAGCAAGCACTTTGAAGAACATAAACCAGCAGTTCTTGTAAAGAACACTGCTCTCATCACGGCACACCTGAAAGCCTTTCTTTCTCTTCAGTTCTCCAACCCTATATCTTTCATAGCCAATGCATCTTCAATGTCTTGTATCCACCTTCATGGAGGTCTGCCTCTGCCTCGTTCTGTGGAAACTGTCCTCCATCATTGACGAACATTACAGCTACCATCAGACACTTGGTTCCTTACCATTTTCTCACCTTGATAAATGTACATGCCTGATGTGCTCTTCTAAGGAGTGACACCAACACAGCACCAGGTCACCAGAGATGTACAACTGTTAAGCAAACATGAAACAACATAAGGGCACTGAGTCATGAACTGTGTAAATATGCTGAGTGGTGTTGTCATGGTGAAGATTACACATGTTTGAGTGAGGTCAGTTATATCTCTTTTTACCTGATTATGTTACATTATAGAAGATACAGACAGAAATAGGTGTAATAATAATAAGTATTATTATTATTATTATAATAAAAAAGATATAACAATTATTATATTTCTACCTGATTCAGTTACATTACAGAAGATAATGGTTATGAGAGATGCCAACATTATAACTCTCTATAAAAATAAGGGAGATAGAAGCGACTGCAACAACTATCGCGGTATCTCTCTATTGAATTATGTGGGAAAAGTCTTTGCTCGTGTTATCCTAAAGAGGTTGCAAATTCTAGCGGACAGAGTATACCCGGAATCACAGTGTGGGTTTAGGGCCAAGAGATCAACAGTTGATATGATCTTCTCCATCAGGCAGCTACAAGAGAAGTGCAGAGAGCAACAGAGGCCACTGCTCATTGCTTTCATAGATCTCACTAAGGCCTTTGACTATGTCAGCAGAGATGGTCTATTCGGGATCCTTGAAAAATATGGATGCCCACCTATACTACTGAGCCTAATCAAATCCTTTCATGAGAATATGAGGAGGACCATAATATATGAGGATTCATCATCTCGACCCTTTCAGATCCGAAATGGAGTAAAGCAAGGATGTGTTCTGGCTCCCACGCTGTTTGGCATCTTTTTTACCGCATTATTGAGGCGTGCATTTGGGACAGCAACTGAGGGGATATACCTCCGTTCGAGGTCAGATGGCAATCTTTTTAATCTGTCCAGGCTACGTGCAAGAATGAAGGTGCACACGAGATGCCTCAGGGATTTTCTGTTTGCGGATGATGCAGCCATTGTGGCACATTCAGAGGATGATCTGCAGATCCTGATGAATCGCTTTGCAAATGCTTGCAAAGAATTTGGGCTTACCATCAGTCTGAACAAAACACAAGTGATGGGATTGAATGTTGGAAATCCACCAAACATTAGTGTGTATGACCATCAGCTGCTGGCTGTAAATGAGTTTGAGTACCTAGGCTCACGTATCTCAAGCAATCATTCTCTGGATGCAGAACTAAACAAACGTATAGGAAAGGCCTCTGCTATGTTTGCAAATCTCACAAAGAGAGTCTGGTCAAACAAAAAGCTAACTGATAATACAAAAATGAAGGTTTATGAGTCTTGTGTCCTGAGCACATTACTGTACGGCTGCGAATCCTGGACTCTCTATGCTCCACAGGAAAAAAGACTGAATACCTTCCATATGCGCTGTCTGAGACACATCATTGGTATATTATGGCGAGACCTTGTCTCCAACGAATGTGTGCTCACAAGAGCAAAAATACCATCAATGTATTGTATACTGAAGCAAAGACGTCTGCGCTGGCTGGGACATGTCTCCCGCATGCTGGATGGTCGTATTCCAAAAGATCTCCTATATGGTGAATTGGTAACTTGGAACAGACCTACAGGAAGGCCAAAGCTGCGCTATAAAGATGTATGCAAACATGACCTAATAGATCCCAACATAGGCACAGAGACATGGGGAAAATCAGCTGCTGATCGACTACTATGGAGACAGAAAGTGAAAGACGGACTGTCACATTTTGAAAGAAACCGAACACAACGAGCTGTGGAGAGGAGACACCGGAGAGTAAAACTGCCTCACAACGAGGGAGTATCTGCTTTTGTGTGTATCCTGTGTGGCAAAGACTGCCATTCCCACATCGGACTTTACAGTCACAGCAGATGCTGTTCCCAAAGCCAGCGGCACATCTCCATAGTCCCCCGGGACTGACGGATGCCATTATATACAGAAGATACATCAAGAAAGAGCTATAATAATAAGTGTTATTAAATATAAAAAAAGATATAATGGATATAAGTATTGTTATGTATATAAAACAATCTAAAAAATTTTTTTTATCTCTTTTTATCTGATTTTGTTACATTACTAAAGAGTTTTGTCAACTGTGAAGAGGGGTGGGGTGGGGGGTGGGGGGGGGGGGAGGAGAGGAGGAATATACATATATATATGTGTATGTTCGTGGGTGGGTGCATGAGAGAGAGAGACAGAGAGAGAAATAAATAAAATGACCAAAGGCAATGCTATAAAATAGATATTTTAAAATTACTATAATTTTCAATCATTCTTGTCAGAATAAGCATATTATTGAGCTTATTTATAAAATCTCTGCTAACATTACAACACGATTATACTGTCTGGTTTTACAACACGATTATACTGTCTGGTTTTACAACATGGTTTTACTGTCTGGTTTTACAACATGGTTATACTGTCTGATTTTACAACACGACTCTATTATCCGGCATTATTACAGTATGACTATAAACTAGACTATTGCTGGTCACACATGATGACAAAGTTCATTCACTCAGAGAAAGCTTTTGCAGCAAAGTCTGGAAGCCTGGTATGTCATCATCTGCCATTGCTCTGACGTGGTCCTGAATTCTTTTCTGGAAAAAAAAATATATATACATAAATAAACGGAATCAGTTTATTACATCAAGCTGATTGATTTTCATATATCAGCTACCAGGAAAGTATAATCATCAAACAAATTTAATTCCTAACTACTGCAGACCTTCATAACTGTTATATCCGTTGTAAAGGCCCTTCTCAGTATGTATCTGAGTCTTATTTTCTACACTTTATGGATAATTTTATGTTTTCTTCTTTTGTCGACTTTTAATAAATAAATAGAAGATGACTCATGCATAGGCGTCACCCTTCTTCTTTGGTAATTTTGTGTAGGTAAGCCTAGAGTTGTTTTTGAACACCAAGTGGATCAAACCTTTTGAGTTGAGCTCCAAAAAAGCTTGCTTTGCCAGTGACCACCTGACCTTCACCTCTCAGAAACCACAGATGGCATGATCACTTGTCATTTTTTAGCTTGTCAGATAGGATCAAATTGTTTAGCTTGTCTCTAACTTTTATCTTGAATCATTTCTAGCTTTGCCTTCAGAATATTCTTCTGCAGCAGGTTTTGTAGCCCTGCTTGCCACTTTTTCAGTTTTTTTCTGCTCCTATGCAGTTTATGATTGATTATACAGTCAAATGACCCGCTTTTAAGAATTATTCGATGCATCACAATGCTTCAGAATTCAAAAATTACTGCCAAATCTTAAATAATATAATTTGGAATCAAACAATTTAGATACAGATGAGCGCTCACCATTAACTTGACGTCTGCCTGGCCTTGTTTTTGAGCCAAAGACCAAAAATTGGTTGTCAATGTCAACATAGACGGTTTGCTCATGTCACAAAATGCCACCAGTACTGATATTATCTCCAGCACTAGAGAACTCTGACGTTTTGCAAACTGAAAAATTTTTAATGGAAACAGTGATTCATGGAAACTAATTTACATGCAGGAATCACTACATAACAAAGAGAGATTCCCATAGCAAATGTGTCATGAAAGTTTTACAAGCAAGAATGTTACAATTTATGAGATGAGATGAACAGTTTACTTAATCACTTTAATCACTGTTTTACAGTTTACTCACTCACTGTTTTATTCTTAACTTATTTTTACAGCTTATTAAGGTGCACTTCCATAAGCTAGTTGCTTTTTTTAAACGGCCATCTGGTCACATTACAAAAATCCATCTTTCTAGTCACTAAACTAACCAGCCTCTCAGGGCTAGATACAGGTAGGACTTCCCTGCCTTCTTCCTACAGTCCATGATGTGTGATGCTGGTAGTTATGTCTATCCACAGAATTCTGCCTAGTTTCAATCATTTCAGACATAGGTGAGTACTATGAGTAAGGAAGGATAATTTCCTCTTATCTATAAGAGCTGAACACGTAGAAAGGTGACGGTTTACAGTCCCAGAATGACAAGGACAAAGCAGATACTCTGCGGTTAGGGTCTGTTTAGGTACAAATTCTGGGATATGGTGGTTCTGTCTTTTCCTTGTCTTGGAGAGACTGATTCAGCTGGGAGTGAGCAGAGGGTCTGGACAGTTTACCCATTTGGGGAAAACAGGCCAATTTTTGATCAGATGGCTAATAACATAACATAACCCTTGACCCGCTGGGGTGATGAAGGCGTATCGAAGTAAGCACTAGCACATAAAACCCACCATCTTTCTCTGTCTTCTGCTTGACAAATAAGTGTATGACAACTAATTTTTTTTTTAGTCATTCCAGGATCTTCTTTGTCCTCTTTTTTTGACTACCCCCCCCCCCCCCCCCCCCACTCCACAATGTTCTTGAAGTACAGTCTTTGCAATGGAATCATGTCTCACCGCGTGCCTAACCCAAGCCAGCTTGTGTTGTTTCACCACTGCCAAGAGAGGCTCCTGGTTTCCTGCAAATTTGTAAATTGTCTCTGACATATTTTTAAGTTTTGTGTTCTAAATGGCTTATGGCACCATCAGTATGGGAACTCTTCGCTGGCTACTGAGAAAGGGGTTAAAGCACATATGAGAATGTCCCCAGTGCAGTGATGTGGAGACCTGAAACCCATATGGAAACCCAAAGACAACATGTCATTGATTACCTAAAATTTCTAAAAGTCAAGCAGGCAACTGACTTCTTCTTTTGTCCAACTGCTTGTGCCGTAAAATGTGGCAGAGAGGAGTTAGATGTGGTTTCCTTGTTTTGCTGGTTTTGTGCACCTTGTGGTAACGTCCTACTGTGTTTGTTTAGTGTCTCCTAAACTATCTCCACCCGTATTTGTCTTGGTTGCCCTCGTGACTTGTAGCCTTGATGTTCTCATTTAGTATACTCTAGCTGCTGGCCAAGAGGCAAATGACAACTTCTATACATTAATATATTCCAGGTTAGGTATAAATAAACATGTTTACCTCCGGGCCAGATATAGCTTTGAGGTGGGAGAGCATTTCTCCGATCAGTGTATCTGCAATTGCCCGTAACTCAGCCAAAAACTTGGGGTCACTGCCATACATAGCATCATTTGAGTCCACTGCAAACATAGAAAACAGATTATGTTTGCAAAATAGTATTTAAACCATGATTTGTTAGGTCTGTGCTGTTTAATGGGAAAATGGAACTTACCTATTTTCATTATTTTGTTTAAAACAGAATAAAGTGATCCTGCTTGTAAGTGTTTCCAACAACAGCTCCAGAGTAAAGGGCAGATCAGCTTATTGGCCAGATGCTTTCAAAACTAAGGAATATGTATGTGTTTATAGATTTGGAAATTAGCCCATTCATCTGATCCTCCTGACTACCATTTGCTATCTGACACAGAACTTGACAGAATGACATACAAAAAGCATGGCAATATTTTTATTATCATTTCCAAAACCATTGCAAGTTTTATTTCTTATAATGTATACAAAACATCTTGACTATATGTCTAATCTCTTTAATTTCTCTAATCGTGGTTTTCATCTATTTCTTGGAGGATGCCTTGTTTGTTTATCTGTACTTCCATGGTATTCTTTGCACTTTTCTCCGAAACCATATTTAAGCTCCTATTAGAAGCTTCTCAGCTTGTCTGATAACTGTCCATGCAATACAGTAGTACAAGCACATCAACATTTTTTTTAACAGCAAGTAATTTTTTGTTTTTCAATTAGCAATTTTTTTTTCAAGACTGTAAATTAAACAAACAGGTCTACTTAAAGAGAATGCCTTGCAACACCATACCATATATGGCAAACATTAAAGGGAAGAAAGACCAGATCAGAAGGTAGACAAGGAACAAGATGCTTGAAGCCGCTAGAAGAGCAAGAAACAGAACCTTATATCTCCCTTGACACCTAAAGTAGTAAAAGAGGAAGTCAAAATGTTTTTTTTTGTTTTTGTGTTTAAATTACCAGGACCGCATTCTGCAGCATTAACACCTCAAGGATGAGAATTAAACAGGGATAAACCCTGGGGAAACAGCATTCAGTGTGGATGGGTGTGGTCTGTTAGACCCTGGGAAACAGCATTCAGTGTGGATGGGTGTGGTCTGTTAGACCCTGGGAAACAGCATTCAGTGTGGATGGGTGTGGTCTGTTAGACCCTGGGAAACAGCATTCAGTGTGGATGGGTGTGCTCTGTTAGACCCTGGGAAACAGCATTCAGTGTGGATGGGTGTGGTCTGTTAGACCCTGGGAAAACAGCATTCAGTGTGGATGGGTGTGCTCTGTTAGACCCTGGGGAAACAGCATTCAGTGTGGATGGGTGTGGTCTGTTAGACCCTGGGAAACAGCATTCAGTGTGGATGGGTGTGCTCTGTTAGACCCTGGGAAACAGCATTCAGTGTGGATGGGTGTGGTCTGTTAGACCCTGGGAAACAGCATTCAGTGTGGATGGGTGTGGTCTGTTAGACCCTGGGGAAACAGCATTCAGTGTGGATGGGTGTGCTCTATTAGATCCTGGGGAAACAGCATTCAGTGTGGATGGGTGTGCTCTGTTAGACCCTGGGGAAACAGCATTCATTGTGGATGGGTGTGCTCTGTTAGACCCTGGGGAAACAGCATTCAGTGTGGATGGGTGTGGTCTGTTAGACCCTGGGAAAACAGCATTCAGTGTGGATGGGTGTGGTCTGTTAGACCCTGGGGAAACAGCATTCAGTGTGGATGGGTGTGCTCTGTTAGTTTACTTTCAGTCTGGCAAAAGGTTATTTTGCCATTTTATTCTTGCTCTATCTCTGAACCACACTCACCTTTGTCAATATGATATGGATAGTGTTCCTGTGAAGCTGCTGCCAACATGGAAAGTACTCTTGTGTACACTAGAATACGGGCATCACTGTTTGGCTCCCACGTATAGTCCTGTAATACGTTGAGCAATCCCCGCAGCAAATACATCACACCCATATCTGGACTGTCCTATAACAGTACACATAAATTAAAAAAAAAAAAGTAGTTACACGACTTTTATCTGCAGGTTAATCAAGCACAAAATTAAGCAATGAATTAGACACAAATGTCTTGAACATGGTGACTAGCCATTTTGCTAGGTTCAGACGATCTTCTTACGATCATGCCTATACCAACCAAAGACAAATGTTGCCCGAAATCTCAATCACTAATATTAGAAGGGTGTGAGAACAGCTGGCTTTCTGTGGGCACCGACTCTGTCACAGCCATGAACCAAGTGAGACGAAGCAACACAGCTGTAGATGTTACGTGTCACAGCCATGAACCAAGTGAGAAGAAGCAACATGGCTGTAGATGTTACGTGTCACAGCCATGAACCAAGTGAGACGAAGCAACACAGCTGTAGATGTTACGTGTCACAGCCATGAACCAAGTGAGACAAAGCAACACAGCTGTAGATGTTTCTTGTCACAGCAAAACAATGGCCAAGCTCAGGAAAGAAACTAGCTGGCTCATTCCCAGCCAAGGTGTGGTAGCTGAAACAATGAAGCCCTAAGGGTTCCACTGTCTCAGTTTAACAAGCACATCATAAAAGTCTACTAATTAGGGGTGTTTTCTTCTAAATCACAGTGCATCTGCCTAAGAAGCAAAGCACCAACAGTGTGTAGATAAATAACCCAATCTGTAAAATGGATATGCAAGCAAAACTCAAGTTCTGGGACAAAACTGATAAACTTTTTGTTCGGTTTTATATCTTTTCTTGAGACAATACTAAAGTCCAGAGGTGGATGAACAACTAGAACTTTCCACTGGGAGTTTACAGTCAGTAAACTCGAACAAGAAGATAAAATAATGATGAGCCATAGAGTGCACTAGGTTTGCCTCCCAAAGGGCTGGTTTTCTTTTCGGCAAGCACATCTAGTGCTGATCATTACATAATAACTGCCTCTAGCAGTTTGTTTGTCACCAAAAATTGTAATGCACAATAGAAAAAGGAGTTCTTCTGATGATCTGAAGCCTCCTGTGTTGCTAGCTTTCCTGTGGAGGTCTTACTACATAATGGAAATGAGGGGGGGGGGGGGGGGGGGGGGGAGGCTGTCTATAAACCTGATTAATGAAGATTGTAAACAAAGGACCCATTTCTACACCTGGAGGTGTACTGGAAATATGGTAACAGCTTCATATTTTCATAGACCAGCCGACACTCAATGGGCGATGCAATCAATATTGCAGTACACTAGAGACTGGGTTAGTCTAGGAGTCCAGGTTAATTTGCAAAAACTATCTGAACTGCAGTCTTAACCCACAGTCGTTAAGATTAAGCTAAAAGAGATGTACAAATGGCATAAAGTAGAAAAAAAAGGTGACACATATAAAAGGGCAGAATATTAGATAGGCTTGTATGTCCGATTATCAAACATTTAGAAATAAAGTCTGTTTATCTATTTCTTAGTTTGGTTTATGACTCTTTCTGAAAGAGACAGAAAAATGAATGAATAAGAATAAATATGAATTTAAAAATAAGGAAAAGCAGTCATCATAATAAACACTTCTGTTTAAAACAGATTGGTCTCTCTCCCATTTTCAACAACTGTAACAAAGAAAAGTATAAACTTCATGTCAGCAGTTACAAACACATGTATAATCATGGTGTCAGCAGTTACAAACACATGTATAATCATGGTGTCAGTAGTTACAGATATGTATAACTATGATGTCAGTAGTCAGAAACATGTATAACCACATCAGTAGTTACAGATATGTATAACTATAATGTCAGTAGTCAGAAAACTGTAAAAGCAATGTGTTAGTAATCACATATATGTATAATCATGGCCTCAGTAGTCATAGACATGTATAACTATGATGTCAGTAGTCAGAAACATGTATAACCATGTAAGTAATTACAAACATGTTTAACTATGGTGTCAGCAGTCACAAACATGTATAAGCATGATATTGGTTATCACAAACATGTAAAATCATGATGTCAGTAGTAATAAACAAGTATAACCATAATGTCAGTAGTAAAAAACACATATAAGCATAATATTAGTAATCACAAACATATATGAGCATGATATTAGTAATCACAAACACATAAAATCATGATGTCAGTAGTCGCAAACATGTATACAAATGGGGTTAATAGTCACAAACATGTATAATTATAATGTCAATAGTCACAAACATGTATGAACATGGTGTCAGTAGTCACAAACATGTGTATAACCATGATGCCAGCAGTCACAAACCTGTACAGACATAATGTCAGTAGACACAAACATGTGTATAACCATGATGTCAGTAGTCACAAACATGTGTATAACCATAATGTCAGCAATCACAAACATATGTACAGACATAATTTCAGTAGTCACAAATAAGTGCATAACCATAATGTCAGTCACAAACATGTATATAATCATGAAGTCAGTAGTCACAAACATGTATATAAGTAACTATGATGTCAGTAGTCACAAACATGTATATATCCATGATGTCAGTAGTCACAAACATGTATATATCCATGATGTCAGTAGTCACAAACATGTATATATCCATGATGTCAGTAGTCACAAACAAGTATATAACTATGATGTCAGTACTCACAAAGAAGTGTAAACATGATGTCAACAGTCACAAACATGTATATAATTATGATGTCAGTAGTCACAAATGTGTACAGACATAATGTCAGTAGTCACAAACAAGTGTATAACTATGATGTCAGTAGTCACAAACGTGAGTAAACATAATGTCAGTAGTCATAAACATGTGTAAACATGATGTCAATAGTCACAAACATGTGTAAACATGATGTTAGTAGTCACAAACAAGTGTATAACTATGATGTCAGTAGTCACAGACAAGTGTAAACATGATTTCAGTAGCCACAAACAAGTGTATAACTATGATGTCAGTAGTCACAAACATGTGTAAACATGATGTCAGTAGTCACAAACAAGTGTTTAATATGATGTCAGTAGTCACAGACAAGTGTAAACATGATGTCAGTAGTCACAAACAAGTGTAAAAAGGATGTCAGTAGTCACAAACAGAAGCTATCAGAAGTAACAAATGTGTGTAAAGCCAAGATCTTACCGGGATAACCAGAAGTGTAGACACAAAACTAAACAAGTACTCCAGCAAGAACGATTCTGAAGACCTTGACTTACTGTCTACAACATCCATTGTTTTGGGTACATCTGCTACTAGTGATACCGCTGCTCTGAAAAATGCATCACCTAAATTTGGAGGAAAAACCGTATGAATTCAGAAGCAAGACTAAATGATGAATGTGTACTGGTAAAAATTGCAAGCCTTGAAAAACAATCTAAATGTGTTGAAAAAGCCAAAGACATGAAAAAAAAAACCAGCTTATGTAAAATATACTGGTAAAATAAAAAAAAGGTTGTTGCGTATCCTTTACAGGACGTTGCAGAACCAACCCCAACAGCCCCTGGCTGTTGTGTGGTTTCTCTAGGCAAATTTATGTCCAGTAGTTTGCCATTGCTTTCTGGACGGTCGGCTTTCTTGATACCACTGTCGAAACCAACGCAAGGCGCATTGCCCGCAGCTGGGATCGATCCCGGCATTACGAAGCGAAGCGTTCGCATCGACTTAGCCACAGAGCCGACGGTAAAATAAGCAAATGTTAAATAAAGAATACTCAAAACTGAGCTTATATAATACTCTTGAAAAAACATTTATTTAATAAAACTGTTACATTTAATTATAATTTAATCCCACAACAGATACTGTGAAATGGAGAAAGAGTAATAGAACTTCCCATATACTAGGTTTATGTTTTATGAAGTGAATGACAAACATTTATCCTTATTTCTTGTAGAATTCCACTACAAATTGTGTGTGACCTTGTGTGGCTGTGAGGCTTAAACATTCAGCAACTTAAAGAAAGGCAACTGCAACTATGACTTTGGATACGATTCAGAAGACAAGGCAGGAGAATGATACAGTCTAAAGATCACCAGATAGCTACAAACAGCATCATACTGAAGTGTACTAAAGTAAGTCTAAAATATGTAAACTTTCCTGAATGTTTTCAGATTCCACATGTGTAGTGTATATCTATTAAATACTTCTTGTATAATCTTCTTCTCTTCCACCGTGCACCTCATCGAAGTGTCGGGGAGAGATTTAACGTTCGTTGATGAGCTCTGTCAAGAGCACTTTTAAGACTGATGTTCATTTCTGTCAGTTTGTTCTTAATGCTATCACTCCATATTTTCTGAGGTCTTCCACTCGCTCTATACTCATTGTAACATTTTAGTGTGGCTCGCTGTAGCAGACAGTACCAGGGCATTCTTGTTAGGTGTCCAAACCACTTCATTTGTTGTTCTTTAATGACCTGTAAGACTGGCTTTATTCCTAGCATTCGTCTGATTTCGTATTCTGTCTTTCCTTGAAACTCCTGCAGCTCTTCTAAGGCATTTCATCTCTGTTGTCACAATTTTACGTTCACTGGAGGATGTAAGTGTCCACGTTTGGCATTGATAGCATTGTATAATAACCATTTAAAATCCTGGCAATCAATCCCAATGATCCTGTAAGATTAAAAAACTGCCAACCTGACCCAAATTCACTATTTTCCTCAGTTTAGGATGGCCTCAAATCCTCATGCTTTCGATCAGTCCCCATCCTGCCCCCCCCCCTCCTCCGCCTTCTAACCTACAAAGTGGTAAATACAGGCGGTAACGACAGATAGATGATGGATGGTTTAAGGTCGTGGCATTAAGGAATACCACTGACAGAACTTATCCAGAAGATCAAGGATCGAGATCTATGGAGAGAGATAAATGTGTATGCCATGGCAGGTAATGGTAATTCTCTTCTGTATGTAACTGAATCTTCAAATACTCCAGGTGGCACACAGGTGTGAAATACAAGTGTACTGAATGAAATCTCACCCTGTGAATAGCACTGATTGAGTAGGGCCACCTGTCCTGACAGTAAATATAGCTGTAGTTGGGAAAACACAGACTGCAGAGATGGGATGGTAATGAAACAAAATGCTGCACACGCCTAGAAGAAAGAAACACGGTAAGAGCAATTACCTTTCAAATGATGACAACAAAATCTCTCTCTTTCTTTCTCACTCGCACGTATACACACACACGCATACACACACACACGTAAGTGGCAAAAGCATCGCTGCTGTTCTATCTGGAACACAGAATATGAAGGACTCACAGGTGTCACGACATATACAAGCAAATACCCACTGTTGTGGAAAACTCGTCTCATATGATTTTGTTACGTGTAAACAGGCTCTCATGTATCTCAGCAGTGGTATGTGGTCCTCTGATTACTGCAGGATTTAGTAACAGTTTGTTGGCACAAACCTCCCATAGGTAATTCCACCAGTCAACAGTTGCTGTCAGCCTGCCACATTCCCAACTCTAACTGCCAAAATAAAATGCTTGTCAACACTTGAGACCAGTAGTTTTTCAAAAGAATGACCTGTCTGTACAGCACACAGGTGTAAGCCTTGTAGCCATGTGCTTTCTCCAAGTGGGATGTCCATTGGCATCGGTCCTGGCATGATTATTGGGACAGCATCTGACAGAATGTAAGATGCCATACTGCTGCAGAAAAGCAATGTTATCTAGCTTGTTATGGACCAATGGTGCCAGGTTAAGGAAATTTCTGACGAAGAAATAATTGCTTAAAACACAGCCACTTAGATACCCACTCACACTGATGATGATATAAATGAAGATGCCCCAACTAATAACACCCCTAGAATACTGGAAGAAAACTAGCTGACTGTTTCTGAGAACACCTCTCCAATATTGACAAGAAGACATTTAAACCGATCCCTCTCCATTTCAACAGCTCTGACAAGAGGTAAAGATGATATATCTGTCACAGCATTAAAATCTTGCTCTGGTGATCATACCATGTGCCTCGCTTTGGAAAATCAAAGTTTAAGTGCTGAGAAGAGGGAAGGTGGGGGGGGGGGGGGGGGGGGGGGGGGGGGGGGGGGGTTTATTGTTATGAAGAAGAGTACAATCAAACCAATAAAACTTCAGGAATCTGAAATTCTGGTGTTTTTTATCTTTCTTTTTTTACCTGCATGGACCTGTCAAAAGACATTTGAATTTTACATAAAATCTGTCCAAAGATTCTGCCTTCCCCTCAGGTTGTTCCAAACATGGGATACTAACTGGTCATTACATGTAATGCTATTACGGCTTGTTTGGGCTTTACTAAGGTGGTACTTCTCTGGCGTGCTGATGCTCATAGGCAGTTGTGGCTTTGTCTCGAGAGAGATTAATAAGGGTTTCACGCAGTGTCACAACATATTTTGACTTATTCAAGTTCTAGCATGTGAGTCGCATTCAAAAAAGAAAAAAAAAAGGTTGAACACCAATAAAAACTTTTCAGGTCAAAAACAGGACATATACGAAGCTGGACTTATTCCAAAGTGGATGTATACCGAGGTACCACTGTAAATCTGATATCGACGACTGTCATGATGGGAATTGTATAGACAAGATAGACAAGGAGTTAAATATTAGATTGACAAAGCGACAGGTCAGAATTAATAGAGGTAACTGACAAGACAGGCCTAGACAAAAGACACACGGTGTTGACCCCCAGGTAATAACCAGGTCAAACACCTGTAAGTCCTTTGTGACTAACAGGCAGTTAGTGCCTGGAGCTTAATAAAATAAGATGGGTAGTGTATAGGACAGTCACTAAATTCTCCTTTGGGAATCACATTATGTATACTAGAAATTAACATGCATTGTGAGTTTAGACGCCAAAGAGCCATAGGATAAAGGGGCATAGACTTATATGACATTTATCATCCAAGAACACAAATGTTGACAACATCAGTCCTGAAATCCCATATTGACATTGTGGAAGACTTTTCTTAACGAGGGCAGGTCTTGCTAGTCACACCCACCATCGCCATGGGCTGTGAGTCTCATGCCTCCTCACAGAGCAACATAACACTATCGTCTGGAAAGACGAAAAGGTGTCAATCATCATCCAAGAGCATGTGTTCTACATTTGGTTTCTGAAGTCCAATTGGACTAGGCAATCATGATGCCATGGAAAGGATGAAGCAATTGTACGTGTCTCTCCACTATCTTTAGTTCAATATCATGGAAGGAGGGTTGTGACCTTTGGCCTTTCTACACTGGGAGGCTAATGGGATATGTCTGCCTGCTCACCTACAGAGCATTTTTTACTGGCCAGACCTAGCAGAACTGAATACAATCCAAAGTAGAGATAACAATTATAGCCAGTGATTGATGAATGTTGTTATTTCCCTTCACTTTGCTGTAGGAGGCCATTTTTATTCGTCATGCCGAGCCATATTTATGATCTGTTGAAAACCTAGATGAAGTAGGAAATGACATTAGTTCCATGACATCGATTAAATTTAAAATAATCACAGGAAATAAGACCCAAAACAAAACTAGACTTACCCGAACAAAAGCAGCAGTTTTCCTTGAATGGTTGCCCTTGACAACTTTTCTGGTTTCAACAGCCAAATTGTTAACAGACTGTGGCGTTTGAAAAAATTCAACTGATATCATGTCTATAAAAGTCATAGCACGTATAATTATTTTTCAATATATTCACATACATTTTCAAAATGTGCATTTAACTGTTTCAGCCCACATAGTTAACATGTACATTTAATTGTCAGACTGCAAGATAACCTTTAACCTGTACAATTAACATTTTCAAAATTAACATTTTCAATCTGTACAACTAATATTTTTAGCTTGTAAAGTTAATTCCATGAGCATTAACAGTTAACTGTATCAGTGAAAGCTTATAACAGTTAAACCCCAGCAATCACCAGAGAAAGTCCACTATAGTCAACTCAATTAATAACAAAAGAAAGATTATTACACTTGACCCTACCTCTACACTATGGTTACCTCTAATCACTAGAGAAAAGCCTATTATGGTTAAACCTAGTAAAACCTCTACTCCAGTTAACCCTAATAATACCTATGCCACAATTAACTGTCAAAATATGCCTATCACAGGTATTTCTAATAAGGAATGTTACAGTTAACCCCAATAATATCTCTATTACAGTTAACCCCAATAATATATATAGATATACACACACACAGATATTTATATTTATATATAAATGTGTCTCCGCACTGTTCACTCGCTCCCAAAGGGCCCTCACAACATCTAGCTCATCATATATTAATTCATCACCAAGTGGTGCAGAGCTGGCCAGTCTATCTCTCTGCTCAATTCTAAAAACACTGGCATAACATGGAGAAAATATCCAAAAGATGCTAACTACCCGGGACCTCTGAATTGATGCTTGCCACTCTGCACAGAGCATGCCTGTCTCCACCTTTCTCAACATGCTCTGTGAGTCAGTTACAATGACAGCATGTGTGTACAGCTGATTCTCAAGCCAGCAGAAGGCAGCAGTGACTGCCTCCACCTCCATTCTAAAACTACACATGATATCTTATGCAAGGCTTTATTGCACTAAGGGATAGACATTCAGTGTACAGCAAAGGACCTTTTCACACCATTGGGCATATAGTGCCAGGCCTATATTTTACAGACCAGTCAGCACTCAATGGTGATGTGGGCAGCATCATGCCAGCCATCTTTACTTCCCAGGACTTTAACTGGTACCCACTCAAGACTGGAAAAAGTCTGATTCCATGTGGTTTTGAACCCATGACCTTCAAATCTGCAGGTGAGCATCCATGTGCTACACCATGGCGGCTCCCATTCCATATATAGTGATAGATCTATATTTTATGGAACAACTGGCACTCTGTGGGTGATGTGGTCAGTATTAGCTGGTCACCTTTACTTCCCAGGACTTTTTAAGGTAGCTGACCTGATAGCTAGGGTTATTATTTTGAAAGAAACTAGACTTTATGCAGATTATATATACACATTTACATATGAGAGTGTGTGTGTGTTCATACACAACAATAAATGGCTACAAGGTAATGTACAAGGAAATAAAGGCGTCAGAATGATGCTAACCACCCCACTCACTAAGTGCTGACTACTCTACAAAATGTATGATTCTAGCAACATTTTCCATGACTTACCAGTGGCATTAAAAAAAAGGGATCCTTTAATACTTTAATTCTTTCTGTGAAAGAAATGGGGAAAACAAGAATAGACCAACTGCCTACCCAAAAGCATGTCCTAAGAGTCGACTAATTAGGAGCTTCCTTCAAAGTCAAGTGCATCTGCCTGAGAGACAAGGAACCAGCAGTCTGCAAAACAAATGAGTCAGTTCTGTAAAACGGATGCACACGCAACACTCAGGTTCTAGAACAGGACTGCAGTCCAGAAGTGCATAACAACCAGAACTTTCCACCAGAGTTTACAGCTGGTGAATGCAAAGAACAACAAGAAAACTTTACTTCACATTTCACAAAACAATACAGATTTCACAGACATCTGTTTGTAACAGACAATTACCTGAACCAAAGTAATAAGCACCGGGTCCAGGTTACTGAAGTAAGCCCTGCACTCAACATAGAAACTCAGCTGTTGTTCAAAATCTCGACCAAACTGCACCAATCGCAAAAACCCACACAACAAATTACTAATAACTCGCTTTTCATCTTCCAAAGTTAAAGCACTGAAACAAAGGGAAAAAAAATTACAATTGTCATTAAATTATCTTCAAGTATTATTAACTAGATTACTTCTGTCCATTAATGTGTAGCTTCTTCTACTTCCAACATCTGTCCATTAATGTGTAGCTTCTTCTACTTCCAACATCTGTCCATTAATGTGTAGCTTCTTCTACTTCCAACATCTGTCCATTAATGTGTAGCTTCTTCTACTTCCAACATCTGTCCATTAATGTGTAGTTTCTACCTCTCCCAACATCTGTCCATTAATGTGTAGTTTCTACCTCTTCCAACACCTGTCCAGTAATGTGTATTTTCTACCTCTTCCAACATCTGTCCATTCATGTGTACTTTCTACCTCTTCCAACACCTGTCCAGTAATGTGTAGTTTCTACCTCTCCCCACATCTGTCCATTAATGAGTAGTTCCTACCTCTTCCAACACCTGTCCATTAATGTGTAGCTTCTTCTACTTCCAACATCTCTCCATTAATGTGTAGCTTCTTCTACTTCCAACATCTGTCCATTAATGTGTAGTTTCTACCTCTCCCAACATCTGTCCATTAATGTGTAGTTTCTACCTCTCCCAACATCTGTCCATTAATGTGTAGTTTCTACCTCTTCCAACACCTGTCCAGTAATGTGTAGTTTCTACCTCTTCCAACATCTGTCCATTCATGTGTAGTTTCTACCTCTTCCAACACATGTCCAGTAATGTGTAGTTTCTACCTCTCCCCACATCTGTCCATTAATGAGTAGTTTCTACCTCTTCCAACACCTGTCCAGTAATGTGTAGTTTCTACCTCTCCCCACATCTGTCCATTAATGAGTAGTTCCTACCTCTTCCAACACCTGTCCATTAATGTGTAGTTTCTACCTCTTCCAACATTTGTCCATTCATGTGTAGTTTCTACCTCTTCCAACACCTAACCATTAATGTGTAGTTTCTACCTCTCCCCACATCTGTCCATTAATGTGTAGTTTCTACCTCTTCCAACACCTGTCCATTAATGTGTAGTTTCTACCTCTTCCAACACCTGTCCATTAATGTGTAGCTTCTTCTACTTCCAACATCTGTCCATTAATGTGTAGCTTCTTCTACTTCCAACATCTGTCCATTAATGTGTAGTTTCTACCTCTCCCAACATCTGTCCATTAATGTGTAGTTTCTACCTCTTCCAACACCTGTCCAGTAATGTGTAGTTTCTACCTCTTCCAACATCTGTACATTCATGTGTAGTTTCTACCTCTTCCAACACCTGTCCAGTAATGTGTAGTTTCTACCTCTCCCCACATTTGTCCATTAATGAGTAGTTCCTACCTCTTCCAACACCTGTCCATTAATGTGTAGTTTCTACCTCTCCCCACATCTGTCCATTAATGAGTAGTTTCTACCTCTTCCAACATATGTCCATTAATGTGTAGTTTCTACCTCTCCCAACACCTGTCCATTAATGTGTAGTTTCTACCTCTCCCAACATCTGTCCATTAATGTGTAGTTTCTACCTCTTCCAACATCTGTCCATTAATGTGTAGTTTCTACCTCTTCCAATATCTGTACATTAATGTGTAGCTTCTAACTCTCCAAGTGTATGCTTGTGGATTTTCTTTAATATTGACAAAGGTTGTTCACACATCTGCAGTCTTTATTCATTTCTTAAATACTAATATCAGATATGCCCATACAAATGTGAAGTCTCTATCTATGTTTTTCTTAAATAATGACATGATATATGTCCATACAAATGTGAAGTCTCTATCTATGTTTTTCTTAAATAATGACATGATATATGTCCATACAAATGTGAAGTCTCTATCTCTGTTTTTCTTAAATAATGACATGATATATATCCATACAAATGTGAAGTCTCTATCTCTGTTTTTCTTAAATAATGACATGATATATGTCCATACAAATGTGAAGTCTCTATCTATGTTTTTCTTAAATACTAATATGATATATGTCCATACAAATGTGAAGTCTCTATCTGTTTTTCTTAAATAATGACATGATATATGCCCATACAAATGTGAAGTCTCTATCTGTTTTTCTTAAATAATGACATGATATATGTCCATACAAATGTGAAGTCTCTATCTGTTTTTCTTAAATAATGACATGATATATGCCCATAGAAAATGTGAAGTCTCTATCTGTTTTTCTTAAATAATGACATGATATATGTCCATACAAATGTGAAGTCTCTATCTATGTTTTTCTTAAATACTAATATGATATATGTCCATACAAATGTGAAGTCTCTATCTGTTTTTCTTAAATAATGACATGATATATGCCCATACAAGTGTGAAGTCTCTATCTGTTTTTCTTAAATAATGACATGATATATGTCCATACAAATGTGAAGTCTCTATCTGTTTTTCTTAAATAATGACATGATATATGCCCATACAAATGTGAAGTCTCTATCTGTTTTTCTTAAATAATGACATGATATATGTCCATACAAATGTGAAGTCTCTATCTATGTTTTTCTTAAATACTAATATGATATATGCCCATACAAATGTGAAGTCTCTATCTCTGTTTTTCTTAAATACAAATATGATATATGTCCATACAAATGTGAAGTCTCTATCTATGTTTTTCTTAAATACTAATATGATATATGTCCATACAAATGTGAAGTCTCTATCTCTGTTTTTCTTAAATAATGACATGATATATGTCCATACAAATGTGAAGTCTCTATCTCTGTTTTTCTTAAATAATGACATGATATATGTCCATACAAATGTGAAGTCTCTATCTGTTTTTCTTAAATAATGACATGATATATGCCCATACAAATGTGAAGTCTCTATCTGTTTTTCTTAAATAATGACATGATATATGTCCATACAAATGTGAAGTCTCTATCTCTGTTTTTCTTAAATAATGACATGATATATGCCCATACAAATGTGAAGTCTCTATCTGTTTTTCTTAAATAATGACATGATATATGCCCATACAAATGTGAAGTCTCTATCTGTTTTTCTTAAATACTAATATGATATATGGCCATACAAATGTGAAGTCTCTATCTGTTTTTCTTAAATACTAATATGATATATGTCCATACAAATGTGAAGTCTCTATCTGTTTTTCTTAAATAATGACATGATATATGCCCATACAAATGTGAAGTCTCTATCTCTGTTTTTCTTAAATAATGACATGATATATGTCCATACAAATGTGAAGTCTCTATCTCTGTTTTTCTTAAATAATGACATGATATATGTCCATACAAATGTGAAGTCTCTATCTGTTTTTCTTAAATAATGACATGATATATGCCCATACAAATGTGAAGTCTCTATCTGTTTTTCTTAAATACTAATATGATATATGGCCATTCAAATGTGAAGTCTCTATCTGTTTTTCTTAAATACTAATATGATATATGTCCATACAAATGTGAAGTCTCTATCTGTTTTTCTTAAATAATGACATGATATATGCCCATACAAATGTGAAGTCTCTATCTCTGTTTTTCTTAAATAATGACATGATATATGTCCATACAAATGTGAAGTCTCTATCTGTTTTTCTTAAATAATGACATGATATATGTCCATACAAATGTGAAGTCTCTATCTGTTTTTCTTAAATAATGACATGTCAGCTGACTACAGATACACAGCATTTATCCTTGTTTGACACTGATCTACATGTGTCAGATCCTCAACAACAAAACAGGCTTAAAAGTTAGAGAACTGACTTCAGTGTCTCAGCTTTTATTCTATATGCAACAGTGTCAAGGATCGTCCCATTTATGGGACAGTCCAGGGTGATGATGATGAATCAGCAAGGCTGTGGATAGTGAACCTCAACTAAACTCAGGGCCATGCAGACAAGCCGATACATGCACAAATCCCAGTTAGCTGAACTAGGCTTGCCGGGCGTCAACTGGCTTAACGAAGTGTCGACTGAACGCTGAACCCTGGGAGTTCAACAAAACGACTTTACAAAGGACAGATCGGAGATTCTTGGGAGGACATCTGTGTGACCCTTACGTTGTTTGACCAGACGGTTAGATTGTAATAGTTCATTGACAAATTGTAATAACCCATAGAAATGTGGAGTGTGTTAGATGTTAGCTGTGATTCATACAGTCCGATGTTTGACTAAATGTGGTTAGTACTTTACAGTGTAGGTAGGAATAGTTTCACTTAGATCTCCTTTAGCAGATAAATTCATGATAGCAGTTAGACTCCTTTCAGTAGTAATACCTCGTTATGGGAAACAAGGCCATGCATTATTTGTGGTGATAGCATCTGCCGACACATCTCCGCCCCTTTGGCTTGTGCCAAAGTGTTGACCCAGTTTAAAAGGGTGCTAGGTAATGTTCTTGGAAATAAATGTGGCTAGCTACAAAATCCAAATAATCACAAATAAAGGATTTGCCATGACTGGTGAGTTCCTTATGATGTTCTGGTCTCAAACTTTTGTCAAACAGAAATATATTCTGCAACAAACAGTTCTGAAAATGAGATGAATGAGGCTGGCTGTCAGAGAGACCAAAGAGATTAAATCAGGTCTAAATTATACACAGAGACAGCAAATCAAATGGTTTGCCCACTTAGAGAGAATGCCTTGCAACATCATACAAAAAAGGGATACATAAAAAGTAGAGAGGGATGTTGAGCAACAGGAAGATCAAGAACAAGATAGAAAGATAACATCAGAGAAACTCTACAACAGCACAATGTGTCTATGGTTGAAGTAGCCAGAAGAGCAAGAAGACCCTTATACCTCGTTTGACACCAAAAGTGGTAAATGCCAAAGTGAAGAAGATGATCTAAAAAAATAAAAATAAGAAAAGGACAAACAGTTACTTACTTAACGGCATCGTGCATGATCTTCCCAAGATACATCATGGCATTGATGACCACGGGGTCATTCATTGGCTGCAGCTGGTGTCTGGGTGAAGAAAAATAAAAACTTGTCAACCCTCACCTCTCACACAATGGTTACTGGCACAAATACACTGAGTCAAACAATAAACATGTCAACCCTCACTTCTCACACAATGGTTACTGACACAAATACATCGAGTCAAAGAATTAACATGTCAACCCTCACTTCTTACACAGTGGTTACTGACACAAATACATTAAGTCAAACAATAAACATGTCAACCCTCACTTCTCACACAATGATAGCTGACATAAATATACTGATTCACACAATAAATATTTCAACTCACTTTTCTAACATTGATTATTGAGATAAATTTACTGATCACATTCAGCTCACCTGCCATTCTCTCCATCTTTTTAAACACTCTCTAGTTCCCTTCTTTATGTGTTTTTTATCTACTTTTTGTTTCCAGATGTCCTTGTGGGCATCAGTGTAAAGCCCTTCTAGTTATAATAATCTAGACTGCAAACAACATACTGAAATAAACTTAAGATATCTCTTATTCTTCTTTTGTCATCTCACTGATACCAGGTTGTAGCCCAGTTTTCTGTATCTATTGTGTGCTTCCTATGTGGCTTTGGTGATGGATTTGTTCATATTTTTGCAGATTTCAGCTCCATCACTTATCCACCTCTTTCTTGGTATTCCCCTCGCCTTCTTCCCAAATGTTCTGCTGTTAAAAGTCTCACATGCAGCTTGGTCTGGAAGCAATCTCACTAGATCACTGAAACATTTCATTCTTTGCCAATATCATTCATTCTTGTATAGTAGCGGCTTCAGTTATATTTAAAACATATTTTAACACATCTGAAATAACCCAGAATGATCAGTGAACACAGAACATTTTAACATAGAAGATAAAATACCTGAAATAATAGCGAATGATGAGTCAGTATTAAAATACCAACAACCTTCACAGAGTTGTCTTATGATTTTATGTTTATTTTGATGGCTGAATACCAAATCAATTCAGGTCGTTTTATTCATTACAATATTATTGAGTAACCGAATTCCTAGTTTTGGAGTTCATTCAATTTATCTTAAATGCGTTTTTGTCAGTGAACACAACCAGTAATTCAAGACAATATTTCTAAACTTTACTCCAGGGATCTATTGTCAACAGTCACCGAACCCTTCTCCTTTAAACAGTTAGGCTGGGAGGTATAATATTTTAGGGGAAGATTCCCAGACTGGTCTTCTGGGTGTATTGTTTGTTTGGGAGGTCCGTCTCTATAAACCTCTTTGGCTTTTTTCCCTGTGAAGTCACCCTCTCAGCAGCAGTATTATCTATGTCCATCAGTGTGTGCAGAGGGAGCATTATATTCTTTGACTCTTTGTAGATCTGGCATAGAAGATTAACTTACACAAGTGAATCTGATATGTTTCAAGCGTGCGTATGATCATGAATCTACATATGTGCTTCTTCTTCTTCTTTTGTTCGCCTGAAATAAGTTGTCTATATCAGCAATTTTGTCTCTTGTATAAATTTTACTGTTGTTGTTAGTTCATTCAGTGGTCCAGTGGTACATATGTGCATAATGGAATAAGTATATTATAAGTATATTCATGTGTGGATGCATTGCACGAATAGCAACATACTTGTTAAATGACTCCAAGATGCACTTGCAAACGTCAACTTTGATGGCTTCCCTTTGAAACATATCAACGAAGGGCAGGAACTTTTCCTACAAATATGAATTTTCTTTTAATTGATAAAAACAGACTGCAAAATAGTGTGTGTGTGCGTGCGCGTGTGTGTGCATATACATATGTCTATTCATGCGCATATGTACATGCATGCATGTGTGTGTGTGCATGTGAGAGAGAGTCATTTTTCAATGTCAAAAAGCACATTCCCAAAAATCATCATCATCATCATGTAGCAGGTCCTTTGCAGAACACCACACTCATCACAGTCTGCCTGAAAAAAAAACTTAGTTTTTCGCCAGCTCTCCCACCTCGTGTACTTTCCTACTCAAGGGGTCACTTATATCCTGTGCCCATCTTCGTGTTGGTCAGTCCCTGTCTTTCCTTCCTGGCGCCACGCCTTCTGCTGCTGTTTTTTTTTTTCCAATCCACCATGGCACTTGATATGACCAAAATATTTCAGCTTTTGAGATAAGATGCTGTTTATTAGCCAATCTTCCTTGATGTTCAGATCCTTTAAAATTTCAGTATTTCTTCTCTTCTTTGTCCTAGATTTTCTGAGAATTTTTCTATAGCATTTCAGCTCAAAAGGACCTATTCTCTTTCTTAAGGACTGGGAGATAGTCCATGACTCACAACCGTATGTTGCTCCATAGAAGACGCATGCTCACAAAATTTTAATTTTGATTTCCTTGCTGGTGCTTAAACATAGACTTTTAATGCTGTTTAATCTTTGCATTGATATGGCCATCCTTCTTTTAATTTCTGTCAAACAGTCTCCATTGCTATTTATTATAGAGCATAGATATTCAAAGTTTGTGACATTTTAGATTTCTTCATCATTTATTGTTATTTCTGGCTGACAGCCAGTTTCCCACAAATAAAAATAATTAAACAAGTAACTAAGCAAAATGTCTTATGACAAATTTTTCATTTCTTAATCTAGAACAAAACAAATGAAAAAAAAAAATAAAGTTAACATCATTAAAAAAAATTAAATGTTTAATTTTATCTGCTTCTTGGTTTTAAACCCAGTTTAAAAATTTTACTGTATGGATTTAACATCACTGGTGATAACTGAGAATGCATATACAGATACTAAAACACAAATAAAGAAATGATTTCCAAAATAAGAAGGTCGAAGAAGGTAGAAGGAAACTTACAAGAGAAAACAGCAGTGAAAAATCATGCTGGTGTGACATGATCTTGCTAACCACCGACTGCAGCTGTGGGTAGAAGTCCTCGTAAGCTCGGTCTGGTGTCACATGTTTGATGATGTCACCCAGGATTGTGTTGATTTCTTTCTTCTGAAAGTTTAACGCTGTAGTTTTATATATGAGTCTAACATAGTACTTTTTTTAAATGTAAGTTAACATTATATATTTTTATGTGCAGTTAGTTAATATTAATCTGTTTTATGTGTAGCTGTTTTTTTCCTTCTCCATTCATCCTTAACATTGCGATTGGCATGTGCTGTGTGGTTTACAGCTAAAAATTCCCCAACCCCAACAATGCTCTTACTTCTTTCTTCATTCTAGGAACAGGGAACTAAAAGAATTTCTCCACAGTTGCTGGTATGGCTTTCTTTAACCCTTTGCCTAAAATGTGTCTAGGAAGGTAATCTCCTCCATAGCTACCTCGACCTTTGTGGGCCTAACTGTGAGTCCAAACTCTCTGATATGCTCTAACATGTATGAGGTTTTGTAAATTGTCATGGAACAATAGTATGTCATCCAAGTAATGAATTACATCAGCACGTGCTTGAACCAACTTCCTAATGAGCCTGGCGAACGTAGATGGAGCATGTGAGAGACCAAATTTTAAGTTTAGAAAATGCATTAAACCCATATTCGATCTGAATGCAGTTCACTTCTTCAATTCCTGGGCTTAAGTTCATTTTTACTGCTAGCCCTGACGTGAGTTATTTGGAGGAGTTGTTTAATTCTTTAGGTAAAGCTATTTTTTTTTTTAAAAGCTAGACTTACCTAGGGGATACTGGCAGATTGTTGTGCTATTTCTTTCTTACCCATTTATACAATAATAAAAGTTTCTAATAAACAGCATGCTCACCCCAAAGTGTTTGACCACAAATTCTATCCACACTTCTGCACAGCTGATATATTCCTGTATAGAAAATAAATTATTATGATTAAATTTAAAAAGCAATTACTTTAACAATAGAAGCAACAGCAAAAAATGTATCTACACTAAATAAATAAAACAATATCATGCTAAAATATTGTTATATGTGTAAAAAAAAAAAGCAGCAAATAGAATAATTATTCATAATTTTTGCCACCGTTCGTCCTGGTGACATAATTTGCATTGTACTTATTTACAGCATAGCTGCAATATTTACGTCTTTCAGCCGACACATCCAACTTCAACAGGTATTTTTTCAATGGGTTAGCCTTCCTGGGAAATAATTTAAACACTTATATTTGACTTCAAGAAACCACAGAATTGCAGGTACTGATACATAAAATTAGGTCAAGAGATAAGAAGTTCATGTATTAATACAAAGTATGAGGATGGATGATAAGTCAAATGTATTACTTCAGAGGATTAGACCAAATGATGTCACATGTCAAAAGGAGTCACACCTGTTTCTATATGATATTAGACCATGACAGAAGTCATATGCTTGACTATTACATGAAATTAGGCTGGACGACAGGAGTCATATATTACTACATAGTATAAGGTCAAATGACAAAGAAACACACAGCATTAGACCAAAGAATATCATTCATATTTATTACTATTACATGGCATTAGGCTGAGTGAAGGAGTCATTAGTATTACTACTATAAGGTATTAGACTCGATGACAGAAGCCACATATTATTATATTACATGGCATTAGGTCAAATGAGCGTCATATGTATTACTATTACAAGGCATTAGACTGGATGGCAGAATCCACATATTATTACATGGCATTAGACTGGATGGCAGAATCCACATATTATTACATGGCATTAGACTGGATGGCAGAATCCACATATTATTACATGGCATTAGACTGGATGGCAGAATCCACATATTATTACATGGCATTAGGTCAAGTAACATCACATGTGTTACCATTACAAGGCATTAGACCAGATAACATAGTTGTGTGTGTGGTTGACATTACAGTTGTATGTGTAGTTAGTTAACATTATAGTTAAATGTGTAGTTAGCATTATAGTTGTATGTGTAGTTAGCATTACATAGTCTGAAAACCACTAGAAGTGTCCCCAAAAAAATTTTTCGCAGTGGAAACCAGAATTAGAACTCAAGGATCATGAAACTGTTAAACACATTCACTAACCTCTAAGCCACCGAGGAGCACGGCCAATATTTTAGAAGCAGAGAACAAGAGCCCATGACTGATTCTGGCAAAATAGAACTTACTGAAGGATTCTTTTTCTTTTATTCTAATAAATCAGAGTATATAGTTGTGTGTGTGGTTGACATTACAGTTGTATGTGTAGTTAGTTAACATTATAGTTATATGTGTAGTTAGCATTATAGTTGTATGTGTAGTTAGCATCACATAGTTTCATGACAGTTAGGTAACGAAATCTGTATTTACATTTCTTAAATTCTCTGCAAATGACCCCCAAAAGGTTTCTTCTTCTTTTGTTCACTTGAAATAGATTATCTATGCAATGTTGTCTCTGGTATGAACTTCACTAGAAGGATTCTTTCTGATTCTTACAATAAAGAACTTGCTGATGAATTCTTTTTGATTGTGAAAATAAAGAACTTACTGATGGAATCTTTTTGAATGTGAAAATAAAGAACTTACTGATGAATTCTTTTTGAATGTGAAAACAAAGAACTTACAGATGGATTCTTTTTTAATGTGAAAATAAAGAACTTACTGATGAATTCTTCTTTGATTGTGAAAAAAAAGAACTTACTGATGAATTCTTTTTGATTGTGAAAAAAAAGAACTTACTGGTGAATTCTTTTGATTGTAAAAATAAAGAACTTACTGGTGAATTCTTTTTGATAGTGAAAATAAAGAACCTACTGATGGATTCTGTTTGATTGTGAAAAAAAAGAACTTACTGATGGATTCTGTTTGATTGTGAAAATAAAGAACTTACTGATTAATTCTTTTTGATTGTTAAAATAAAGAACTTACTGATGAATTCTTTGTGATTGTGAAAATAAAGAAATTACTGATGAATTCTTTTTGAATGTGAAAATAAAGAACTTATGATGAATTCTTTTTGAATGTGAAAACAAAGAACTTACTGATGAATTCTTTTTGATAGTGAAAATAAAGAACCTACTGATGGATTCTGTTTGATTGTGAAAAAAAAGAACTTACTGATGGATTCTGTTTGATTGTGAAAATAAAGAACTTACTAATGGATTCTGTTTGATTTTGAAAATAAAGAACTTACTGATTAATTCTTTTTGATTGTTAAAATAAAGAACTTACTGATGAATTCTTTGTGATTGTGAAAATAAAGAAATTACTGATGAATTCTTTTTGAATGTGAAAATAAAGAACTTATGATGAATTCTTTTTGAATGTGAAAACAAAGAACTTACTGATGAATTCTTTTTGCTTCTTACAATAAAGAACTTACTGATGAATTCTTTTTGATTATGAAAATAAAGAACTCAATGATGGATTCTGTTTGATTGTGAAAATAAAGAACTTACTGATGAATTCTTTTTGATTGTGAAAATAAAGAACTTACTGATGGATTCTGTTTGATAGTGAAAATAAAGAACTTACTGATGGATTCTGTTTGATTGTGAAAATAAATAACTTACTGATGAATTCTTTTTGATTGTTAAAATAAAGAACTTACTGATGAATTCTTTGTGATTGTGAAAATAAAGAACTTACTGATGAATTCTTTTTGATTGTTAAAATAAAAAACTTACTGATGAATTCTTTTTGATTGTGAAAATAAAGAACTTACTGATGGATTCTTGAGCTTTACCACAGCTTTCCATACTTCATTCAGTACAGGGAGTTGCTGGTCTGCAGGTGTGTCAGCAATTACCAGGCAAAGCCCCAGCGTGCGATGTAAGATGTACTGATGAATAAAGTCAACAGAACAATACACAATTCTATGCACACTGAACTGGTTCTTGTTCCTTTAGTCAAGCAATAATGTTGATCATGTTTATCCATAACATACTTTATCCTAAGCTGCGAGTAATCTCTGACACATAAATTTCCTTATGCTTCTGTTTTAGGCAGCCTAGAATCAAATGTTTCTCCTATCAAAATGTCATCCGTCTAGTATTAGATGTTTGTCTATGTCACAATGTCAGGCAGCCTGGGATCACATGTTTCTCCTCATCACAATGTTCAGCTGTCTAGTTGTATACGTTTCTGCTGGCACAATGTTTTGTCTTGTTTTATGGTAGCTCCTTATCACAATGATCTGCTATCTAGTTTTAAATGTTTTCCGTTATCACAACTTTCAGCTGTCTAGTTTTACATGTTTCAACTTGGAATAATATTCAGCTCTCTATTTTTATATGTTTCAGCTTGGTACAATGTTCAGCTGCCATTTCAACTTGGCCCAATTTTTAGCTGTCTAGTATCAGATGTTTCTTGATACCAGGATGCCAAGTTGGCTAGCATACTGTAATCAGGTCTTTCCTTCCAGCATTCCCAATCACATGTTCTCCTAGTTTATCCTTTCTCATTATATGACCATACAGTGTGAATTGCACACTTCTAATGTTATTAACCAGAACTATCAGGCAACTTTACAGCTGTCAATAGAGAACTCAACATCTGTGTTTAAATGTAATAAACATTTCTCTGAGAAAGCATTCTTCTTCTTTTCTCTTCTCCTGGAGTGCCTCAAAGTGTCAGGACAGAAAGAGAGCTCTGGAGATCTCTGGGCCCTTCTGTTCACTTCCTTTAAGTACTTTTCAGTGGCTCAGATATTTTTGGGATCCATATTTTGCATAGTTGACCTCTAGCTCTGTTCCTGCTATATATGTATAATACTCCTCTTTGTGGTGACCTGTCTGTTGCCAGTCTTGTTATATGGCCATAGCATGTAAACTCAAGCGAAAAGTTTTGGTTGTTCAGCCACCTCAGGACTTTAAACTTATCCCAGAACCTGAGTGTTATGTGTACATCCATTTTACAGATCTGGCACTTTATGCTGACTGTTGGTTCTTTGCCTCTCAGGCAGATACACTCCAACTTTAAAGGAAACCCCTAATTAGTTAACTCTTACGACATGCGTGTTGGAAAGGCAGGGGGTCTATTCTTGTTTCTCCCCCCCCCCCCCTCACAATGGGGTCCCTGAACCCACATGGGGAGTCAGAACATCTGATCTACTGTTTACAGATAATGTTCAGTACTGGTTCTGTGCCAACTCTCCTCCTGATACCAGCATTTCTAAGTCCACCTTTCCTTGTTACACCTAGTATCATTTTATTTCTGTCGTGACTATTTTTTCTTCTGTATTTTAAAGGCACATAGAACCTGTTCTGCTGTATGGCTGCGAATCTTGGAATGTCAGTCAACAAATTAGGAAAAATTTGGAAGCAACAGAGATGTGGTTTCTGAGATGAATGTTACAAATACCTTGGACGACCAGAGTAACTAACAACGATTGCTTGAAAGAAGCTAATGAAAGTAGATCTTTTTATATACAGCAATAAGAAAGAGACAAAACTGTTCCTTGGCCATATAATGAGAAGAGAGACATTGGAGAACATTGTGACAACTTGAAAGATCAGTAGAAAAAGGGGTAAAGGCAGACCAAGAGAGATGATGCTGGATGGGCTGAAACGATGGAGGGATATCATCAAGAGAGCTGTTCCTGGCAACCAGGAATCCTGATTTGTGGAGACGCACGAGCGCCTATGCCAGTTGGCAGGGCACATGATAATGATGATGATGATTTTGACACAGATAGTACAGCACTGGTAAAAACACTGTATTATAAACAGTGCTCTTTTACTGTTCATATTCACATGTTTGCATTTCAATATCGGTGCCCTTCATCCTATAACTTGACGAGCTTGATTGGATCTTCTTCTGTCCTTCACCTGCAACTGAAGCACAAGTCTTCAACAATTCATGCCCTGCCAACCTGTCGTTTCCAAACTCATCCTGTTCTCGTCCTAACTTACTAAGCATCCTGTCCATATTATTAATCTCTGTCACCTATTCTCATTTACATGTGCTTTTAGGTTTCTCTCTATTCAACCCTGTGTGTTCCAGTGCAAAGACAGTCTAGTTACATATTATTAGATCTTCTCAATGTGCTGGCATCTTTTTTCACATCTTCGGGTGTGAATTTGCAGTGAGACAGATGTTCTTGTAATTCACCTTGGTCCCCAGACTGATCCAGTGTAAACGGGTATAAGAGAATTAAATGGGATATAAAGATGGCTGGCAGGATACTGGCCACTTCCGCCAGTGAGTGCCTATTGGTCTAGAAAAATATGCCCAATGCACCAATTGCCATTGAGAAGGGCTTCTAATTTTTACTTTACCACAGTAAGTGTGAAAGTTAAATTAGTTGTGTATCCTTCATAGGATGTTGCAGAACCAACCACAGCGCATTTTTTGGCTGTTGTGGTTTTTCTAGGGAATATTTACGTTCAATAGTTTGCTTTCCACTCTCAGTACCACTGTCAAAACCAATGCAAGACAAACTATCTGCAGCTGGGATCAAAACTGGTACACCGGCATTACGAAGCTCGTCTGCAATGCCTAAGCCACAGATGCCAATCTGAATTTTGGAAGATCGAAGTGAAATATATAAACCATCAATAACAGATTAATTTTGGCCATACCTTAGGAAGTCCAGTGTCCTCACAATCTCTGATCAACTCTGTAAAAACAAGAGCTCTACTGGCAATGTACTGAGGCTGGAAGGCAGACATGATGGAGTTGATCATCAGAGCACTGGGGAGTCACACACAAGAAAGTAAAGATGAATGCAACTGAGGACTTTATGTGAGGTAACACTTAGAAACACAATGGTACCTCAGTATATGTTCATTTCAGTATACGTTCAACTTGGTATATTTTCTTTTTAGATGCAAAACTTTTGCTTGGTATGCAATCTTTGTTTGGTGCTTTGGAATGCTCACCATCTCAAAGAGTCAGATGGACAAACTAGAGCGCATTCAGAACGCGGCTATGCGGGTCATTCTGGGATGCACCAGAAACAACCCAGTGGTGTATATGCGATACATCATTGGTTTGCCGAGGGTTGCAGGTAGGCACAAGGTGCTGTAGGCGAAGTCACATCTCAGGGTAGCTGCAGACACAGACCACCTTCTGCATGAAGCTCTGGATGCAGTTAAGGGTCAGCGGCTTATAAGAGGGAGGTCATGGATGGCTCAGGCAGAAAACACAATCAGACAGGTTTGCATCCTTGAGAACATTAGGCGAGTAGAAAAGTGGGTCAAAGTGCCACCTGAACAGTCAGACTTGTGTAGAGTCATAATCAGGCTGAGCCGGGAATGCAGAGATTGGCCAGCAGGTGACACAGAGGTGGAAATTCAGCAATTAATTCAAGAGGATTAATTCGCTCAGAGGATTTGATCATTTACACAGACGGTTCAGTGTCAAGAGGCAAAAGAAGTGCTTGGGGCTTCTTAGGAAAAGTTAATGGTCGACGTTTGGTGCAGGAGAGCCTAGCATATGATACCACAACATCCAGCTTAAGAATGGAGGTGGAGAACGGTCACTGGCTAGAGAACACGACAAACATACACATCGTGATTGTAACTGACTCAGAAAGCATGTTGAGGAAGATCAGAACAGGTATGCTTCGTGCAGAGTGGCATGCTTCGCTGCGGAGGACAAGGGTGAGGAGTATTGTCTGGATTTTTTCAACGGGGCATGCCGGTGTGATGGGAAATGAACAGGTGGACAGACTGGCTGGCTCTGCACAACTTGGTGGAATGCTGATACATGATAAGGCAGACATGGTTAGTGCCTTGTGGGAGAGCTGTGTACAGTTTGGAAGAGCAGACGGATCACCAGTCTGGTGAGATTGATGCAGCTGGGAGTGACGCGAGGTTCTGGCAGATGCTCGAGGCTCAGAGTAAAGGCAGGATGGATGTTTAATCAGAATGCTACTGGCACCATTAGTATCGGAACTCTTCGCTGGCTGCTGAAGATGGGGATGGAGCGCTTATGGGAATGCCACGAGTGCTGTGATGTCGGTTCTTGAATTAAATCAAATCAAATCAAATCTTTGTTTGGAATACGAACTTATGTTAGTCAAAATTAACCATGACTATGTGCTATCTTTGCTACTTCTCTCGAGACAAAGCCACATCAAAATCTCAATGACTCTACAGATAAGTATCACCCCAGCTAAGCCCAAACAAGCCATAATAGCAATGTCTGGAATGACAAACAATTTCACCTTTCCAAAACATCCTGAAGAGAAGGTAGAAGCAAAGTTCTTTGGGCAGATCTTTAGTAAAAGTCAAACCTGATGAGCCCCAACCAGGTCCAAGTGGGGGAAACAGGCAGACAAAAAAAAAGAGAAAAAGCCAGAATTTCAGATTCCTTGAGGTTTTATTGGAAGGGGACTCTCCTTCCAAATAATAACATCTCCTCCTCCTTCCTTCTCTGTAACATCCTAGTAGACACTCAACTCTTCTCAGGAAGGTAAAGTGAGATTAGAATATCATTTATTTCATCTAACTGATTTTGTATTTATGTATTTTAGTATTAGGCAGTATAATAATTATGTTATGGTACCCCATCAATGTATATATAATATGCAATAACAATTAGATTTGTTTTAATAGGAACAGATTAATCATTCTTCATTTATGTCTTATGGGAAAATTTGTTTGGTATACATACTGTTTACTATATGTCCAAGAATCAGGAATGTACAATTTTTTAGATAAATGATGAGAATACCCTAGACAGACAAAAAAGAGCAATGAAGATGTCTTGAAAGACCTGGCTGCCCACCGCAGAATGAGACAATCCACATTCTTTGGCCATGTCATGAGAAGGAGAAACTGCAGTACACTGTGGAAGTGGGAAAATTGGAGGGTAAAAGAGGTAACAAGAGACCAAGTGAGAAGATGGTGGACAGTGTAACATCATGGCATGGAAGATCATCTGAAGGCTGTGAACAGACATGACTACCAATGCCCCATGGCAAGACCTATAAAAAAGAAGAATTAGGTAGTTACCTATTGCAACCCTGTTTACATCTATCCAGTGTTTCATTGAGCAGGTTCTCAGAAGCATCATGTGCTAGACACTGCAGAATCCAGTCTAAGGCAGGGGAAAACAAACTTAGATAGCGAGGCAGCTCCAGCTTCTGCACTGCCAGAATATTCTGAACACTGTCACCTTGCACCTGTTGTAAAAAAAAAAAAAAAAAGCAAATCAGAAATATACTGTCCACCTTGGATCACTCTAGCACAATTATTCAACTGCAGCCATTACATTTCAATATTCATCCAGAATGATAGACTTGGGAGTTAAGATCGGCATAGCAAACAACAAGACACACACCAGGCACATCAGAGGACTATTTATTCAACATAGAACTGGTACCACCGGACGTTGGGGTTCATACTGAGGGAAGGATCTTAGCACCTGTGAACATGTCCAAAGTGCAATGATGATAACCCAACTAACGAATTCAACCATTTTAAAATGTTAGACTGTAGTCTACATTTACAGGACACATCACATGATACTCTCTACACAGTTAACCAACTGAAACCTGCACTTCAATGTTCAGCTACTTTAAACTGGTCAATATTTTAACTCTTTTAGTATCAGACAGGTGTTACTTTAACTCATTTTATTTGCTACCTGAAGTTAAACATCTGGGGAGAAAAAGTTCAAATAATTACATTATAGAATAAATTAATTAATTAAATAGGGAGTGACACTTTGTATTGTATTCAGTTCTCTGTTGATAAAGACTTTGTCAAAATGTTCAGCTGTATTCATTTGGGGCTTTTCCATTCCCTCCAATGACCTTTACATTGAGGATAAAATAAGATAAAAACTGGACAGAATAGGGTAATGTAACAGCTACACACAAAAAAGGAGTTAACAAAACAGCATATAAATAAAGGGTAAAAAAGTAACATGTAGTGAGCTGCCTGGTTCTGAATGAGTTAAACAGGTCAAATTAGTAGGAGACTACCTCTTGAGTGATCTAATATTCTGTTCTCAGTTATCCAACTGCAATCTACATTTTAATGTTCAACCATTTTACACTGTTTCTTCTTCTTCTCCTCCTCCTTCTTAATCTTAGCTTTAACTCTCTAAATTCAAGCAGAAAAAGTATTGGTTTGTCCACTTCTGGATTTTCGTCTTATTCCAGAACGTGAACTTTGCATGCACAAAAATTTTACAGATTTGGTTTATTTGTCGGTTCCCTACCTCTCAGGCATATGCACTCTGATTTTGAAAGAAACACACCTAATTAGTCGACATGCTTGTTATGAGGGCAATGGGTCTATTCTTTTTTCCCTCCGAAAAGGGGCCACAGAACCCCCATAGAAAACTGTCACTTTAGTATTCAGCCATCCTAATTATTGTCTGTTAGCACATTTAAAATAATGGAGATATTTTAATTGCTAATATAAAATAATGACTAACAGTATTTTTTCAAAACAAAAGTAAAAATATATTTTGTTGAAAGCTAGTAAGTACCATTGAAAGAAATCAGTGTCTGTGGTAACATTTTATACGCAATATACATTAACACAACATAGATACTGAGATATATTTCTAGCATTTTATATGTAATACAAATTAACACAACACAGAAACTTAGATATATTTCTACAAGGTTAAATGCACATAACACATATTTCCTGAAACAATGACATCATCATCATCAGTTCTCGTTATGCCTAGTGGCACATGAGGCTTCAGAGAGGACTTTCCATGCTTTCCTGTCCTGTGCAATCTTCAGTGCAGTTTTTCATGTCACTGACATACAAACATTTAAAAAAAAAATTTATGGGTACACATATTGCCTATCAATCTGTCATGTTTTCCTGTGTCATGCAGGTCAAAGAGTTTCAATGTTTCCGTACCTGGTGAAACGTGGCAATAAAATCCTCAAAACACTGAGGTATATGATTCTTGAACCGCGGGGCCACAAGCATGCCAACCTGCAATCAAATGACAGCGTGCTAGATAAATCAACAGATTTGATAACTGTGACTATGCATTATTTTTTTTAATTCAATCATTTTCCATCATAAACACAGACAATCTTTCAATCAATCACCTGTATTTCATTTAAAACTTTCAGCAAACATAATACATATTTATTAAATTCACAATTTCATCACTGTGAACATATTTTTAAAGTTTTAAATTATTATAATTATTATAATTATGTATTTATAAATTTGTATAAAGATATTACACTTAAAAATATTTGTTTGTTAGAGTTTTAATCATCTTTTCAGCATAAATGTGTCCATATCTTTTCTAACAGGTCATCAGTTTTTGTGTGCTCCTTAGAGGACTGTTTTACTTCTTTTCTTTTTTCCTTCATCTCAGCACATTGATTTCTTTGCACTTTGAGCAGAAACAGTATCTCTTATACCATCAGGTGTTTCTTCAGTTTGACTGCTTTATGTCCATATCTCACATACATACAGTTTTATAGTCTCTGTGATAAACGGTCAGTGTTTTCAATGCCTATGACTCTGTTAAACACGTAAAGGGCCCTTTTATGGCGCATTAGGCATCAGTCTGTTAGAGACCACCCAGCACTCGATAAACGATATGGTCAACAACACATCAGCCACCTCTATACAGACAGATCCGTTATACCCAAACAAAGAAGCGAATAGGTGTTCACTGCATGCTCAGCGGGTAGAACAGTCAAGGAAGATAATGGGGCCTTCTCTATGTCAATTAGCAGCATGATGATGGAGGTGATGGCAGTAACGTAAGCATACACATGACTTGAAACACAAAACTACACCTGTGCATATGTACTCAGTGATTTCATAAAAAGATCCTAAAGGTTCAGGCAGGTTAGGTGTAAAGGAAGTGGCCTGAATCATTAGAAAAATCCACTGTACATGGAGTAACCTTTATTTTTGTTCCGGGACATATGGGCGTCAATGGAAATGAAAGAGCTGATAGGTTGGTTGGATTCGTCAGAACGATAGACGTAGGAATTAGGATCGGCTAAGCAATAAACAAGACCAACACCAGGCACATCAGAGGACTTGTTAGAATTGGTACTATTAGCCATTGGATCTGAGGGGAGGATGTGAGCACCTATGGACATGTCCGGAGTGCAATGATGATAACTCAACTAACATCAGCCATCTTTACTCTCAAGGACATTACCTGGTACCCATTTAAAGCTGGATAAACCTCAAAGTGCGGTCAATTTTACAAATCAACCTTCGAACAATCACACCTTCAGCAGACAAGCAACCAGCCACATGCTTGACCATAACTCTCCAATGTGACATCTAATACATGACACATAAGGACTAGAGACATCTTACCCGACACAGGTAACATCTTGCATAAATTGCTACAAGGGGATCCCCAATGCCTCTGGTCATGAAGCACAGTCGCTGTAAAACATCTGTGTATTCTCTGTTAACAATCATTATGAAAACATTTAATCAACCCTCTGAAAGAACTTTTTCTATAATAGTCATAAAACCATTTAATGAACCCACTGAAGTAATTTGTTCTAAAAAGTCATTATAAAACCATTTAATGAACCCACTGAAATAATTTGTTCTAAAAAGTCATTATAAAACCATTTAATGAACCCACTGAAATAATTTGTTCTAAAAAGTCATTATAAAACCATTTAATGAACCCACTGAAATAATTTCTTATTTAAAGTCATTATAAAACCATTTAATGGATCCACTGAAATAATTTCTTCTAATCTATAAAGTTATTATAAAACCATTTAATGAACCCACCGAAAAAATTTAATTCTATAACAGTTATTATAAAACCATTTAATGACCCCAAAGAAATAATCTGTTCTATAACAGTCCTTACAAAATAATTTAATGAACCCCCTAAAATAATTTGTTCTATTACCTCCTTACAATATCATTCATGGACCAAGTGAAATAATTTATTCTACAGAAGTCATAACAAAATCCTTTAATGAACCCATTAAAATAATAGGTTCTATAAAAGTCATTACAAAATCATTTAATGAACCCACTGATATAATTTGTTTTTAAAACAATATGTATTTAGCTGTTTCAGTCGATTGGTAACTTCAATGCAGGCGTGGTTACAACAAACAAACAAAACGGTAGGAGAGACATTGGCTCTGCAGGCATTTGGTTTTAGACCCATGTTGTTTATGGACCAAACTACACTCGTTAGACAATGTGGTCAAAAGCAGGCCAGCCACCTTTACTTCCCAGAGTATTTCCTGGGAGCCCTAGGTCAATTATAAAAAGCCAGCTTGAAGTGGAATCAAACCCAGGACCTTGGGCTGGCAAGTTAATGTACTACTACCACTCTTTCTCTCAATGCCCATCATCCTTGAACAGTAGTCCCTGTGTGTGTTTCGGGCCCCATCTGGTGCAAGGTGGGGGGTGGTGTGTCATAGTCGTAGGAGTTGACTAATTAGGGGTTTCCTTTGAGGAAGGCATCTGCCTGAGAGATAAGGAACCAGTAGTCTGCATAAGCCAGATCTGTAAAATGTATGTGCATGCAAAACTTAAGTTCTGGAACAAGACTAAGGTAGACAAGTGGACAAACAACCAGAACTTTCCACCAAAGATTACAGCAGGTGAAGAAGACGATCAAACATCAGATCTTTCACAGAGAATGTCGCTCTCCTCACAGCACACTTGAAAATGAAAGCCTTTCTTTCTCTAGCCATCTATCCAGACCTATGTGCTTTCACAGCCAATGCACCTTCAATATCTTGTATCCACCTTTGAGGAAGTCTGCTTCAATTTCCAGGAAGTACACCCTCCATCTCTCCAGACCACCATGACATTTAATATGGTCCCATTTTTGGGACAGGATGCTGTTTATGAGAAATGCACATTGTATTCATCATCTTCTGTGCTCACCTCAAAAGAGCGGCCAGCATGTTATTTTGTGGTTTAGTTAGGCTGCAATCTCTGCACCTTTCAGACCATAATATCCGATTTCAACAAACCATCATCAGTCACATTTTAAGACATGCTTGTTGTAGCAGCACCGGGTCTATACTTTTTCCCCTTAAAAAAAAATATGGCCCTGGAACCCACATACAGGGAGTATGGAATTCAACAGTACATGACAGACAACTAATAAATGGAATGATTAGGAAACCAAGACCACTCTCAATGTTGAAATACTTGATGGTGATGGTTGCATAAAAATTTTTTTATTGACATGAGCATCACCATCATGTGCCATTTTCTGACTAAACAGAATACTATCTCTTTTAAAGTCAGAATCCATCCTGAGCATGAAAAAAAAAAACTTTATTCTGCTTGTGCCAGTGAAATGGGTAGACAGTCCGTTAGATCAACTCCTTCTATCATATCTCTGCCATGATTCTCAGGAAATGTGTCCTAAATTATAAGCATAATAATACCACAATGTCTTAAAGATGTCAGCCCTGTGGTGCTGAAGAGTCATTGACCACCAGTATTTACTGGGTTCAGTTCTTCATGGCTGGTCTCTACTTCTCAGCATCTTTTCAGCAGCATTTTATTTCAAATGCTGCAATAATATTCCCTTTTAGGTCTATTTTCTATACATTTTAATTTAAATGCACTGATAACATTTCCTTTAAGATCTATTTTTGAACATTTTAATTTAAATGCACTGATAACATTTCCTTTAAGGTCTATTTTCTGAACATTTTAATTTAAATGCTGTGATAACATTCCCTTTTAGGTAAATTTTCTCAACATTTTATTTTCAACAAGTGGATCCAGAATCAGAAAACAATAAATGCATGACAGATTAAACTAAATGTAAACATTCACTATTAACAGGCATTTTTTATTACGAAAATTGAAACAAGATTATAATACTGAAAAGACACAAATAAATTTTGATATGGCATAAACAATATGGGTCATGAATATGTTACTGCACTTGCTTGTCAAGGCAGGGGTCTGAATTCAAAATCAAAGCAGGATTACTATTTTCTGACAAGTAAAGCTATGGGATCAATCAACCTCGTATAAACGGGCACCAATGCAGAAGTGTTAATAGATGATCATGGCGCGGACAGAGAATGGTGTAGTGGGGACTGACCTGGAGATCCAGTCAAAACTCTACATTCAGAGATAAGGCAGGACAGACACACAATTACACTGTAACTAGTACCATCAGCACTAGAGCTCTTTGTCGAGGGCAGTAAGGACAGAGCACTTATGGGAATGTCCCAAGTGCTATGATATTAGCTCTAAACTCAGCTCAACTTTAGGCACCAGATAATTTTCAGAATTCTTTGGGTATTTTTTGAGAAAGAAAGAAATTGAGGAAAGAAACAAAATCCCCAAACTCGCATGTTGCAGCCTTAAATATATGAAGGCTCAGTACTCACATCCCAGAGGCAGAATTACCCAGGAACTAACCTTTACTTTTTTATAAAATTGTTAAAAAGTGTTGCCAAAAAAAAAATGATGTTACCCTGTGTTAAGAAAGTTGTATGACTTGAGTATTGCAGCTTCCACATAAAATCTGGGAATCAGTTCTCTTATGGAAGCAATTTTGAAGAACCAATTTCTGCAAGTTTCTTTTGCAGCCTCAGGTACTTCATCAGAAGAGAAATTGGCTGGAGGTAAAAATGATCTGGTTGTAAAATACAATCTTACAATATTTGTAAACAAAAAATATTCATTTTTATATTCCATGCAAAACATACTTTCAAAAAAATACAATTAAATAATGCAAAAGAAAAATAAATTACCAAATGTGTTTACTGAAATAGTGCATCAAAGATTAAACGGCAAAAATAAAAGTCTCAATAGAAAAAAAATGGTTTATGAAACAGGGAAAGCCAGACAAATCAGTAACTGAAAGCTTGCAAACTCAGAGTATATACTTGGTGGATTAGCAATAACAACTATACTCACTGACTGAAAACTGACTGTTCAATTATATAAGTGTAGAAAATTTTGACTACAGTAAGATAAAAATGATTCTCTTCACTTATCATTGATGCAAACCAACAGCAACAGAAAGCCACACTGAAGAAACACAAGCACAGAGCAAGAAGAAGACCAGATTCTTTTATTATTTCACCCCATCATGAGGACTCCGAGATGTCGTGGGGAGCAGGCAGGAAAGTCCAATAGTATAGGGGTGTCAATTGGGGTGTGAAATGAACACCCCCCCCCCCCCCACATTAAATTAGGCTTTCCCGGGACATCCTCTCAAAATCTTGGAGTCCCCGAGGTGAGGTAAAATAAGATACTAAGACCAACTTACAAAATGCATTTTTTTTTTAAATAACGAAAAAATACAAAGAAGATCTTTACATCTCTGTCAACACGTCTCTGAGGTATATGGAGAAAGATAAGAAGATTCCAACTGGGCATATGATATCAATTCTAAGCTTACAGTGTTTAAACAGTAAAGAAATCTAACTCTGTTTGTCAATGGCAGTTTACTAGAGAAATCTCACTGAAGTACAATGCACATGTTACATAAATAAATAAAACAGAAACTTTGAAATCTGTCTCAAAATAAAACAATATTCAATACATTTAGAAAACAAAGAAATACACAAAATAATGATGAACACGATCAGTATGGTAATAAAATACATAAGCTACATCATATGAAAAAATATAGTAAAGTGATGTGCACTAAATATTACCTGACAATCGGTGGGGTCTTGTTCCTGGCATAGACGTCTGAGCTTTATCAAGTAGACGATCGTAAACCAGTCGACCTAATTAACATTTAGATAACACTCATTTAGAAGCATACATTCATAATGTCATCATTTAAAACTTCATCACATATTATTTTATAGGATTACCTTGATGCAATGACCATAAAGCTAATAATGTCATAATTTCATAATGTCATAATTTCAAACTTCAGCACATATTATTTTACCTATGTCAGTTGTATTCATTGGTGACTGGAATATCCTATGGTAGGCACAAACTTAAATAGCCTAATGAGTTAAATGTTTCTTATTCTTTTGTCCCTCAACTACCACTCGTTCTTTGTTATTTCAGGCTATACCAAACCAATCTGTTCAAGGCAATGACAATAATGGGCTGTCTGTAGATTCCAAGATGACTGCTCAGTAATCATGGAGAAATAATATCTAATCTCAATCCAAACTGGATCACAACTTACTCCATCAGTGTAATTTGACAATGTACACCCAACCACAGCAACCTACTGGGAAATGAAATTACCAAAAAAACTTCCTAAAGTGAAAGCCGCAAAGACTGACTCTGCAATAATAAAACTACAAAACAAAAGACAACAGACTGGCTGAGCAGAAAGAGAAACATAATGACTCATCATCATCATCATCAGGTGCCTTGCCGACTGGCGTGGGCGATCATGCCTCTCCATAATCCGCGATCTCCTGCAGCATGTATCAGTTCGTGTGCCGACACACCTCCATGCCATGCAACAAGACTGTCAAGCATCTTCTCTCGTTGTCTTCCTCTATCCCTCCTTCCACAGATCTTTCCAGTGGTCACAACATGTTCTATTTTCCCTCTTCTCATAAAATGGCCGAAAAATGATGACTGTCTCCTTCTGATGTCAGTGATAAGTTGTCTTCGGTCTCCCGCCTCTTTTAAAACCTCTTGGTTGCTCTTTTTGGCTGTCCAAGGTATTCTAAGCATTCTTCTGTAAAACCACATCTCTGAAGCCTCTAAAAATTGTTTGGCCTGCCTACCGACTGTCCAGGATTCACATCCATATGTTAAAACTGGATGTATGTAGCAAGCAAGAATTCTTTTTCTAACTCTCAATGACAAGGATATATTGCACAAGATGTTTTTCATTTTATAAAATGCAGTTTTTGCCTGTCCAATTTTGTTTCTTATTTCAGTTATGCATCTTCCATCTGATGTTATCCATGTGCCCAGATACTTAAATTTCTGTACTTGTCTTAAAATAACACCATTGACTTTTATTACACATTTAGGAATAATTTGTTTCTTTGATACCACCATTACTTCTGTCTTCCCATTATTCAAACTGAGGCCCATTATTCCACTTTCTAACACCACAAACTATCATAATGACTAGCTGAACTATTTTGAATTGTAATTGTTTAACTAACCACCATTATCGAATTTTATGGTTTCAGCCTAAAAAATATAATAGAATAATTTTTCAATATTAAATGTGGCATTCCAGTGTCAACAGTCACATAAGCCAAACAGTTTCCACACTGCTCTCGTTTGTAGGTACTGCTCTCACAACCACTTTCTCTTCACATACATGCTCAATTTCAGACAAAGCCACTATAACTACTCCAAATGTTAGAAAACCTTTCTGTGGATTCATAGAACTGCCAGAAGCGACTGAACCTTCATAACAATGGCAGCTCATTTTCAACAACAGACAAAAAGAATTTATTTAGAAACAAATGGACCACACATGGAGAAAAATTATATTAAAATTGTGTTCGTATTTTTAAACTAGTCTTCATTGTACTACATTCTTTCAGCACTTATGTAATGTAAGAAGCTTATCTTTTTACTGATTCCTTTCTTGTCAAAACAATCTGTGACCACACATTTTTAATGTTGATATTTAAAAAAAAAAAAAATTCCATTACCAAATGTATCCAAGATGTCTGTAATCAGAACAAATTTGCTGGGGTAGAATGGAATGACAGAGGTATCTGCCAGCAGTTTTGAGCACTGGAGAAACACAAATTCTGGTCAAATGTTTTACTGACTGATTTATCAAACATGAATAAATTATATAGCTTTTAATTAAAAGCTAACATAGTTAGAATAACTTTTTTCTAAAAATAAAAAATGGAATCAAGATTTAAAACAAACTGGCAAGATAAAAATGATATAGTTATAACAAGAAAATGAGTCTGCTGATAATGAAATAGCAAAAAGAGAGACAAATATACAGCTTGATCATGAATCCATCCATTAACACCGTAAGATCCACAAATCGTGTCATGATTTCTAAAGTACAGGAATATAAATTCTGTTACAAACAATACATGCATATTTATCATCAATTTCACTGCATCTCGTCAAGTGCATTATTACAAAGTTAACATCAACATATAATGAAGGTATGTAAACTCTGTAGGAATGCACCTGATAAGATTCAGTAAAATATGACTGACAATAAATTGTGCAATATACTGTCTGTTACCTCAATATTTACACTGATAATGGGAGAACACTGTTGTGAACAGGATTATGTTGATGCAAAGACAGTAAATCTAACATTAATTAAAGCAAGTAAAGGACCTCTTTAGTTATCATGAAGTAGCATGGATATATGGTGCTAGCTCCAAATTTTAGACCATCTGGTGCTCAAGGTGTGATGTGGTTAATCTAATTTGTGCCATTCTTCAACATCTTTAGGCTTCTCCTGCAGCTTCCTTCATGTCATCTTCAACTAATTCATGTGTCTACGATTACTTTCTCCAGGTGTTTTTAGAAAAATTGACTCATCAGAAGTTGTCTACTCATATCAGTTTTAGACTGGATCAGTCTGAGAGCCAGGTCAGTGGAAATAAAATCCCTGCCTCAATGGGGATTCAAACAAACATATGATCATCTACCAGAAGATCAAAAAGTGAAAAACAGGATAATATGAACAAGAATAAAATGGAATGGATGGAATTCTGGAACAAATACTAGTTTCAACAGTGATAAGACTAAGAAGATGGCAATATATTGGGCATGTCCTGAGGAAAAGAGAACAGAAAATCACTAAACAGGCACCATAATGAAAAACAAATGGACTAAGTGAAAACAAAAAGTAATCCAACAGAAACACACACACATACACACAAAAAAAGAAACATTAACGAGAGAGGCCAAAGGTGCTGGATTTTTGGACTGCATTCATGATATCAAAAATACTGTACAGGATTAATGGAATGGAGGAATTGACTGCAAGCATTATGTGACTTATAAACAGCACAACATGATGATGATGAAATCAGAAAGAAATCTGACTTTAAAAAGGCAAATTTATGTAGCTGGATTATCAACTGTCCAAGCACATCAAAATAGGTATACCTGAATTGCAATTTTTAAAGCTTTGACTCGGTGGTCAGCATCCCATGCACTTATCAAGGCTTGGTTCAGTTCCTCGATTCTCTTCACATAATCCTGTTGACTAAGGTTCAGCATCTCTTTGACAGATCCCTGGAAATCGCAGAATGATATGCTAGAATATGACTGACTAAATACAGGTCTCATTATTTTCAGCTAAACATCTCATTTTTGCTAATTAACACAAGATAATTTTTGTGTAATCTTTTTCGAAGTCATTAAGGAAGAAAATAGGAACTTTTGAACTCAAATGCAATAGAAAGATTCTCAGAATACAGCGGACTGGAAAGAATAGTAGCAGAAGGCATGGTGCTTGGAAAATGGGGCAGAGGCAGACCAACACAAAGATGGGCACAGGGTGTAAGTTACTCCTTGAGTAGGAAAGTGCCTGAGCCAGAAGATCTGTTTCAGGAAGGCTGTGATAATAGAGTCATTCTGCAAAGGACCTGCTATATGATGATGGGTAATCTTTCTCACCTCGTTTGATGGAGAAACTCTGCACAGAATATTTTCCATTCTGTGAAATGCAGCTATTCTGCTTTAAATATTCTACATTTTGAAGCCGCTGTGGTTTAGTGGCTACACACCTTGTGAGTTCAAGTCCTGATGGTTAACCCAACTTTAAATGGGTAAGGTCTTGGGAAGTAAAGGCAACCGTTGTCATGTTGACCACAACAAATACTGAATGCTGATTGGCCAATAAATTATGGGTCTAGCCCTATATGCCAAATATGCCTGAACAAGCAGAAAAGGGTCTTTTTTGTTTTTAAATTCCACATTTGGAAGCTATGGTAATGCAGTAGTTAGATGTATGCTTAGGTCAGCCTTAATAGTCTTGGGTTCAAATCTGCATCAAGCTCAATTTTATTCGACCTGGCCTAAAATGGATACTATTAAATTTATTGGGAAGTAAAAGTGGCCAGTGTGATGCAGACCATATTACCCAAGAAGTGCCAGTTGGTCATTATGAAATGTATCTAGCACTATATGACCAATGTCAATGGCATGAAATGGACCTTTTTATTTTCTCTTGTTTCTGTATTTAGCTTAATCATCTATCATTTTCAAGGTATCACCCATCTATCATTATCAAGGTATCACCCATCATTAACAAGGTATCACCCATCTACCATTATCAAGGTATCATCCATCTACCATTATCAAGGTATTACCCATCTACCATTATCAAGGTATCACCAATCTACCATTATCAAGGTATCACCCATCTACCATTATCAAGGTATCACCCATCTACCATTATCAAGGTATCACCCAACTATCATTATCAAGGTATCACCCATCTACCATTATCAAGGTATCATCCATCTACCATTATCAAGGTATCACCCATCTACCATTATCAAGGTATCACCCATCTACATTATCAAGGTATCACCCATTTACCATTATCAAGGTATCACCCATCTACCATTATCAAGGTATCACCCAACTATCATTATCAAGGTATCACCCATCTACCATTATCAAGGTATCACCCATCTACCATTATCAAGGTATCACCCATCTACCATTATCAAGGTATCACCCATTTACCATTATCAAGGTATCACCCATCTACCATTATCAAGGTATCACCCAACTATCATTATCAAGGTATCACCCATCTACCATTATCAAGGTATCACCCATCTACCATTATCAAGGTATCACCTATCTACCATTATCAAGGTATCACCCATCTACCATTATCAAGGTATCACCCATCTACCCTTATCAAGACACCCATATACTTGAACATCGGCAGCAGTTACCTCCTCAAAATCATCCAGCTGCTCCAGTCTGTTCTTCACCTTGTCACTGACTGTACTCACTTGAGTCTGGGTCTTGATCACAACTGGAACACAAACAAATAATAGTAGACCCAGTATCATTAGAAGCAATGGATATTTTTCAAGAATCTAAATACTGTAGGAGGCAGGTGATATCTGCAGCTATGAACCTCAAGGGCTGAGAACGCTGAAGAAGAAGAAGAAGAAGAAGAAGAAGAAGAAGAAGAAGAAATACTGGTCTTGCGAGCCAAAATCTGGCTGCAGAGGCCTAGCAAGGGGCCCATGGATCACTGCCAGCTGTACTGTATTCATGATCTTTCTATGCTGGAGCTCAGGTCTCTGGCCTGAGATGATCCCCATTTCAACATTGTGGCCGCTGAGTAAACTTAGCCAAATAGCCCTGTTGTAGATAGTAGCACTAGGAGCAATGAATATTAATAAAGCTTCTAAATAATACTGACAAGTACTTACGGACTCCATGGGAGATCCACTAGAACAAGAAACAATAAATATTAACCGTAATTCTAAACAGGCCTACTGTAGACATGAAGTGGGTGTCTCAGTGACAGCGTAAGTAAAACAATAAAAGATGTTTCATGTATTAAGGTTTACTGGATATATTTTACTGCTGGCACCCTTCCATCTGTCCAGACAATAGTGTTATATTATGCTACAAGTATGATGTATATACAGTATATATCATGCAAGCTACACATTTTTAGACCAACTGACACATAAAAGGTGATGTTAAAATCATGACAGACATTTTTATGTCCAAAAACATTTCCTGTTACCCATTTTAGGTTGGGTCAACCTGCAAACCCAGGGCGATTTTTAAAATCTTCAATGACAGGGCTGTTAGCCACTGGGTCTGCAGAAAGGATGTTTGGTGTTAAATATATATCTGTTAAAAAGATTGTTGTTTTTCATCATTTTCCCCCTCAATTTAATCTTCAGTATAGTCATTCATTATCCTGTCATGCCATTTCATGTCACACAGGGCTTCTAGTCTATTTCTCTATTCCGGTCTATCCTGTGCAATCACTTCAGTATCATGGATGGAATACAGTCCAGCATCTTTGGCTTCTCTCATCGATGTCTGTCTTAGGGTTTCTCTTGGACATCCTTGTTTCTTCAATCTCTCTGTTTTCCATACCACTGCCTGTTTGATAATTGTTTGTTCATCTCTTCTCACAATGTGTCAAATATAGCGCCATCTTGTCTGTCTTATAACAGTTGTTAAAGTAGTCTCAATATATTACTGAAATTAATGTGAAAAGACGTTGCCACTGTGTCTTACAGTGCCATAAATTTAAATCGTAATTATCTTAAACAAAAGTTAGTTAAACAGTTTACTTTTAACTTTAACATTTAAAAAGAAAACAGAAATTGTGGATGACTATGTGAATGTAGATATTAACATACAACTGTTAAAATGTTAACATGAAGAGGCAGAAAAAGAAACAATAAATATATTACCTCGCTCATGATCAGAAGATGAAAGAAAACTAGTAGTGATAGACAACTTTTCTGATGTTGTATACTTGGCCAGTATGCCAGATTTCTTTGAAGCCCATGGTTCAAAAGTATCACTCAATCCAGTATCATCATTTATCTGTCAAATGAAGACAACCAGAAAGTCCAAAATATTTCTCATGCAATATCCTCAGATTTAGTTGTCTTAACTTCACAAGAAGATTGTAGCAGAAGTTTGTGTTTTTATCATAAATCTTAATATTAAACAGGCAAATAAAATTAGACAACTTGAAAATTGTCATAAACTATTCTGCTCTTTTTCTAAAGTAACATGAAAATCTTAAATCAACAAGTAAATAAGCTAACGATTAAAATATAGAGGGGTAGAGATAATACGAGCATAATTTACACTCATATGCCCAATATGTGTCACAGGGCACGGTGATACTTCCTTAACATTTTTTCAAGGTTACAGCTGGACAAAAGCCAAAATGATCCATGACCTGATCAATGATTCTGATGTGATATGGTCACCTATGCTTGCCAGCATGGCACATTTTGATGATTATTATAGTCTTAGTTAGCGTCTGTTGTTTTAATAACAAAGTGAAGCATGGGTTAAATTTAAATTCATCAAAATGAGTTATAAGTTATACAATTTTTTTTAATAGTTGGCGCAAAGGGTTAAGTCTCTAATACAAGAAATAAAACTATGCCTAGACTTGAAACCCTCTGAAAATATAACTGTTGGTGGTGAAATGAGAGAAAAACTGGGACTTTTGCAACAATCAAAAAGTTGGAGGGGAAAAAAGGAAGGCAGAGATGAAGAAAAAGGATGTTGTTCAGTGTGGCATCATAGAATGGAAGAACATCTGTGTCAGAAATGGTTGGCAGTATGCAAGATACAGGGGGAAGACAGACATAGCCAATGAGCATGGACTATAAGAAGATTAAATGATACTAAAAACCTGCATTACAAAATTCATACCTTAATACTATCTGCTCGACTAGATTTTCCGGAGACAACAGAGCCTGCCTCAGCTTTCACCATCATTGACAAAGGATCAGAACCTTCAAAAACCACTGTGACACCCGTACTCAGTGGGTCTGTACCACTTAATGGATCCACAAAGTCTTGCTTTGCTGTAGGTTTCGAGGCTGTAGGTGTTTTCACACCTTTCTTGTCTGCACTCTTCACCTCAGTAACCTAAAGGTCAAACAATGTTACCAAATAGAAATAATCATCCAATCTAGATAGCAAATCATCTAACATGTCACTGTATCAGTCTAGACTGGCATTCTATTTATAACAGTGAACATAAGACAATTTACAACTGACCTGTAGTGGATTGATAGGCAGTTACTCACTAAAGCTCGTCAAATCCAGCTTACACGTAAATCTTCTAGAACATTCTAGCATACCTCTTGGCTAGCAACACTGACGCTGTGCAAAAGCTCATGATCTTAAGACTGATGACCTGCTCTGACTATAAATGCTGTCCTAAAGTGGAATGCAGACTATTACTGATTACTGATTTGAGAATCGACATAATTGGACACTGGGCATACCCAAAGATGCTCTGTCTTCAGCAGCAAATGTTTTAAGGTGTAGATGCTAACTGTTCCAGTAGCACACTGATTGTACACATGCCATCCTCTGCCTCTCATATGTTACTTCTTGCTGGATCCACATTTGTTCCAAATATACACATACTTAGTTATTTTATTTCATCTAATAAGGTATCTTCCATTAGCATTAATTCTTAAATGACCTTTGACAACATGTTTTCAGCTTGCGAACAGCATCAGTTGTACTCAGGTTTGTACGCTGTGAACATTGTTTGTCACTGCATTGTTTTTGGTACAATTATTCCTGGTGTGGGTTCCCGGACCCCACTGTGGGGAAAACAAGAACAGACCCACTGCCTCTCCTTGAACTCACCCTATACACTGGAATACATAGATGGGGCAAGAGGATCCAGGGCTATAGATGTTGTATCTCTCGGGCAGTGGAGCACACCAGCTGCTTTCACCTGAGAGCTGGATCTAGCCCTAGAAGTGATCACAGTGAAAGGGATACATCAGGTCGTAAGTCCCTTGATCAGAAACACCACTCTACAGTCAATACCACGGTGCTGTCCAAAAAGGCACAAAACACAATGGGTCTAGAAGAAAAAACATTGATTAAAAACCCAAGCCAAAGAGTACCTATGTGCCAATGGGTTTAATGGCTGCGGGTTATGCAGTCACAAGCATGGAACGTCTGGTTGGCAAGAGGAGCAGCGCCAGGCATAGGGACTTCTTTGGAACACCCCTTGCCTCTTCCCTAGGGTGACCATTTACTTTCTGCATCAAAATTTTACTTTCCTATGGATTTTGTACTGAAACTAAAAAGATTCATCACCACCGCTACAGGGTTTGTGCTCTGTGCTTGACACCATCTTCAGCAAGCAAGTGAGAGAGTGGGAAGAGAAGGAGGAGGAATACAATTGTACAACAGTCAGTGTTGGAAAATTACAACAGGAATTAATTTGCTTACATTTCTACAAAACAATATACATGAAACAAATTTTAAATGCTCGAAATATTTGGACAAACTAAGGAAAACAGAAGCCATGTTCCAAATGTGACCAACAGAAACATTCACAGCAAACTCTCCGGGTAAGAAGGAAAGAAAAGAAAATTCTACTTCTGAGTGTGCAGATTAGCATGAACGATCCACATTATTACATTCAATAACTACTTACAGTTATTGCCTTCAGGGGATGAGTGGTGGCAGGAGCTGCAACCATTTCATAACGCTTAAGTTCCAGTTCATAGTTGCGGGTACGAGGGTACCTAGATGAAAAAAATTGTACATTTATTTACCTACAGATCCCAACTATAAGCAAAATACTGCTTGCTGTGCTCTCTTTCTTCCCCCTCCTCACTATGAAGACTATCCAAACATGTTACCTATATGATAACACTTTACAAAGACGTCAGTGGAGATTAGCAGTCTTGCAATGAAGGCCTTGTCCTTGAATGGCAGTGACTAAAGCAATAAAATGACTGGAGTTGCAAACCTTTACTGGTGCATGTTTTCTTTTTGACTCAATATATGCTCAGGAAAATAGAGATGGGCCGGGTCTGAAGACAGTGTTTTGAGGCGGATGGGGAGCTAAACATAGCGGCGCGGATGGGGAGCTAAACTAGCTGCCTGGGACTCACGAGCAAATTAGTTGGAGGAAGTTGCAGGAGATGCGGTAGCTGCTGCTCGTGAGTCCCAGCCATCTAGTTTAGCCCCCATCCGCGCTGCACATAGCGGCGTGGGGTATACGGTCGATGGTGCGGCACAGTCACAGAAACAAGTCCGCAAGTAACATATCGAGCTGAGACCCTGCTAGAGCATTTGTTTCGTTATACGGAGCCGGCATATTTTTAACAGAACTTAGCCCCGTTCGGATATTTTTGAATATTTTATGGCCGCCATAATATTATGACGCCATTCGTAGGAGAGCCACAAAAACTTTGGCTAGCCAAAACTTTTCTTGCTGGCTTTTAAATCCTGCAAATTGTATGTACTGAATGTGGTCTCACCCCACATATTTTTCCCCAAAAGCCCACTTTCCCTTAAAAGGCAACTAATTAAGAGTCATTTGAGATATAAAAATATAATAAATATCATTATTATTATTATATTAAATAAATACTACAGTATACTAGTATAGTAATAATAATTAGTATATTTTATATTTTCATATTTGTTTCGAAATTAAATACAAAGATTTCAAAACAAAACCTCCCCGTTCTCAATGTCTTCGAAAAAAAGCCTTCCAATGTAATAGACAGCAATTATTTTCTACAAATTTGTTGACAAGGCAGGCTAATTTGCGAGAAAAGAAAATGAAATGCACAAAATACACCTAAATAAAACTTTTGTTATACACCTACCACTCGTAGGCAGCCATTTTGTTGGTCACATGACTCGGGCATTATATCGAGAGTAATTCAGTTTATCCATTTGTATTTTGGAATGATAGCAAATCTGGTTTGGCTATGTTGAAAAGGTACCACAATATACTAGAAGGTGCCAAACTTTTAGTTTTAAAACCCGTTGAAACGTGTGTGTGTGTGTGTGTGTATGTGTATATATATATATATATATATATATATATATATATATATATATATATATATATATATATAGAGAGAGAGAGAGAGCACACACACACACACATATGTGTGTGTGTGAGTGCGCGCGCGCGCGTGCTTGTGTGTGTGTGTGGAGAGAGAGAGAGTGTGTTCCTTGCCTCTCGGGTAGATGCAATCCGATCACGAAGGAAACCTCTAACTAGTCGATTCTTACGACATACTTGTTTGGGAGGTAGTGGGTCTACCCCCCCCCCCCCCCCCTTTTTTTTCCCCCTTTCCCTATAACCAGATTGTGACCGGTACCATTAGTATTTGAACTATGCGCTGTCTGCTGTAGATGAGGACGGAACATGCAACTCTTGACTCAACTCAGCTGACTATGGAGGTCATGGCAGTAACTAAAGCAATAAAATGGCTGGAGTTGCAAACTTTTACCCGTGCACGTTTTCTCTGTGACTCAATGAGTATGCTCAGGCACGTCCGGCTGCATATAAATCTGGAGCTGGCCGTGGCTCAGGAAAATAGTGATGAGCTGGGTCTGAAGACAGTGGTTATAGTCAAGAGGTGGTTGGGGTTGGCGCATTTCAGATTCACACTCCTTAGCAGGGTCTTTGGTAGTCTGGTAGTCTTAGTTTCGGCTTCATAGCAAACAGGTCTCCCCATCTTTGCTCCTCTCCTGTGCCAACGAAAAACACACAGAATGTCTATCACAGTCCCTTGTGGAAAGATTGACAAACTGCTGTCTCAGCATATCTAGCATACACTCGCATTAAAGCATACGGTAGCCATCCGAAGTGCTAACACAAACAGTCCAACATCAGAAATGAAGTTCATCATTGATGATAGCAGAACCTGTCGCCAACAGATCAGCAGTTGCCCACGCGATCAATTTTAATCACATACGGGCAGCGCCAACATTGCACGACAGGCATCGCGCCATTTACTGAATCTACAATTCACACCACCATGTTGGTAACAGTCGAAAAAACATTCCAAATGCAATCCACAGCTAACAGTGTCACGCCATGCATTCAACTCAGAAGCTGGGCGACGAAACTATATCCAGTCTACAAATGGAGCAAAAATGCATCGGCCACCGTCCGGCAGCAGCAAAAAAATTGCCTCTGCTTCGAACAGTGCCGCTGTCTAGCGTCCATTTTAACCGGTAGCAGGGTACACAGGCGAACGAGGAAGTGAGTAAGCTTATAGGCTTGCAGGTAAAACCACCGTGGCTTGCTGACATACCATGGACCAAGTATATACACTTGATGCTCTAGGATTCTGGGAGAAGCCAGGCGATGACCGTGAATCTGCAACCTTGACCAGACTGCAAGAACAGCATGTTAAAAGGGTGTGGCCAGACAAGAGCACTATGCAGGAAGCCAAAGAAAAATAAGAAACTAGCACAAGACTGGTGTCATCAATCGCTTAACTGCGGGATTTACTTAAGAGGGGATCTGAGCACCAATGGACTGACTGTTTTGATGCGCAATGAGGATAATCTGTCGACTAACTAACTAAACAAAATAATAGCTAGTGTATTTTCAGAATTAAATAGTTTATCCTGCACTATTAGTACCTTCCAATCTTACATTGTCTTTAAAATGTAAACCAAAAAAAAGCGCACTCTGGTAGTCACATCAAACGATTTCTTGATCCAACGATAGTTTGTTATTTACTGTGGAACCCAGACAGGTAAAATGGTCAACTGTCTCCAGCTCTTGTCCGTAAATGTAGACTTCAGGTCTATCGTCAAAACCTCGCACCATAACCTTTGTCTTCTTTTTGCTGATTGTTAATCCAAATTAACAGCATGCATGAGCAAAGGCAGATAGTAAACATTGCGGCTCCTCCTCTGAGTGTATCGTTATTACTCCATCATCCGCAACGAGCAGCTTTTTGATAAGTACATTTCTTATCCTGGTTTTGGCCTTCAGCCTACGAGCATTGTAAAGGCTGTCGTAAGATCGAGAATGGATGAATATACTACCCCCCTGACCTCGAAAGGCATGTTCCAAAAGAAGTGAGAAGTATATTCAAAAGAGGTTAGGAGTAAGTAAACATAATTGATTCACTCTGTTGTTGACGCTATTGTACAGTAACAAACTGAATCAGTAACAGTGTTTTAAATTATCTACTTTTAATAGTTTGGTTAAATACTTGCTGTCATGGCTAGTAAACGAGCAATGTGGGAATAAGAAAATCGTGCATTCAGCAGTGACTGGACACTGAAATATTTATTTATACCACCAACTCTGCCTAATTCGAAAAGTAGTAAACTTGCTATTTTATTTCTTCAACACTGGACTCGGCAACCTTAACCGATCGAATGATATAAATATTTTAAAAGGCTTCAGAATAATTTTAACAGATTTGACGACTTCAATATCCCAAACAATGTAATGTCGTTCGACATCCTTTTAAATTTCCTCTTGAGTGTGATTTTTCTTCCAATGCTTCTTTAAGAAGTTGATATCCTCTGTTGATGAAGGTTCTCTGCAGTTTAAACTTGTGGATATTCAAAGATCCAGCGCAGTGAATGAAGATTTTCAAGAAAGTGGTACCGTCAAGTTTTGGTACGAGAGGATACAGCAGGAGCAGTTTTCTAATGCTAGAAAAGGTGCTGTATTCATGTTGCACTATGTTTGGCTCAACTTTCACTTGTGAAGGAAGCTTTTCAAACATGAATGTCATCAAGACAAAAACGGAGCTCACTGCGCAATGATAGGCCCTAGTCAAGAGATTCAAATACGCATGTGTCGTAAGATAGTGGAACACACTGGAACGGTAAGAAATACACGTAGCGATTGATGAATGCACTGATGGTAGGGCGATAATTGTGTACGTTGTCAGTCCGTGTGTTAAGGGGTGCCGAACGCAAGATTTGATAGTATGGTCCGGGGAGGGGGACAAAAGGGGCTAAGGGAGGGAGCTCAACATCCTTACACATTTTCAACAGGGTGAGGTCTGAAGTACGTAATAATAATAAAGCGCTGATAATGGCGATGGTTGTGTGCTAAGTTACACATACACACACACGCACGCACGTACGCACACACACACAGACACACACTGGTACTGAAATCGCATGCTATAATTGTGGAAGAATTTCCTTAACGCAGGCGGATCTTGCTAATCACACTCGCCGTCGCCATCGGCTGTGGGTCCCATATCTCCTCATCTATAATAATAAAAATCTTAATTTTCCTATGTCGTTAGCTCAAAACTCTGAAACTACTGAACCGATTGCTTTCAAATTTTTACACATCATTGCCTGTGACTCCAAGCGCAAATATGTGTTATAATTTCGCACAAACCACGAGCGACGTAGCTCCATCAACGGTCAAATCATTATTTGTTTAGTTGCCGCCCGGATTTATTTTTAATCGCTTGACCACCTTTGACTGTGTGACACCGAACTTCACATTATTATTATATACTTTCATTTTTACCAAATGCTTGAGTATTTGGTAATGTAGTAAGTTGTAAACATTTCACTTTTTTTTTTTACTCGGGTGATAGGGAATCGATTCCCGCTGGGTGATATAATATTTGGGGGTGGGGGGGGGGGGATGTGCCCTAACTGGGTGGCTGCCACATTTTATTGTGGTTTATAGCTAGGCTGCAATATTTATGCGCTGTGGTTGGCACGTTGTGT